GGTGGACACCGGTGATCCCAGCTACTCAGGAAGCTGAGGCAGGAGAATCGCTTGAACCTGGGAGGCGGAGGTTGCAATGAGTGGAGATTGTGACACCACACTTCAGCCTGGGTGACAGTGCAAGACTCTGTCTCCAAAAAAAAAAAAAAAAAAAAGAAAATACTTTACTTTAATTCAGGGTGCATATACAGGAGCCTGGCTCCCTTGTAAGTTACCATCTCTGAGCTGGCGCATCAACCGTGCCCTCAGAGGGCAGCAGCTTCTGGGTGGTGTGGAGTATGTGATGTGGCCATGGATCCCATGGCCCTCGCCCACTCCCATGTGGGAGCACTGGGAGAATGGTGTTACCTGATGCCCTGTGGACAGGAAAGACAAACTCACACCTGCAATGTGCTTCTATTCCTGTAAGAAAAATTGCCGACTCCTCTGGTAAAAGGAGTCTGTTAGATAGAGTGAACCCCAAGTTTCTCTTCAAAGAATCAGTAGGCTCTCTTATTCTTTAATTCTCTATTTTAAAGTTTAACTTCATTGTAGTTTCAGTAAACAACTTTTTCCACCAGTTCTAATCAGTAGTTCACATCTGTTCCCCTGGTCCCCTGCCCGGTCCTGACTCATCCCAGTCACCTGCTCTGGTCACCTGCTTTGACCCCTGCTTACCTGCTCTGACCTGCCCGTAACCATCCTTCCCACCAAACTACCCACCCTGCCACTCCAGCTCATACCCCTGCTCCCTTTAAAATAGCCAATCAGAATTAGACTAGACTGTGAGGTCTAACCCTAGCCAATGGGGGAACGACATAGGAGTAGGAGCAACCTCCATCAGGTATAAGTACCCCTTCCCCTCCTTGTCCAGGTGTGCACTCGCCATTGTTCCAAGAGCCACACCCTTCTATAGAAGTAAATTGCCTTGCTGAGGAAATTTCTATTCAAGTGCGACTTCTCTTGCAGCATCAAAAATTTTACTTATAACAAGTCCAACATCACCAACTTGCTGCCTCGTGGCTGGCCATTCTCTTTGAGGAGTGGGGCCATACTGAAGCCTTAGCTGAGCTCTCTGCTGGTGGTAGATAGGAAGTTTGGTGGCAGCAGGAGCAAAATCAACCCTCATGAGCAGAATTCCACGCTGTTGGGTCCATGCATAATCTCTGCCACCTTGGGCCCATCGTGCCCATCCTGGGATAGTGGAAGATGAGGCTGACTAACATCCACTGGCCCAGTCATTCTGTCTACGTAGTTGCTTAATCTCTCTTCCGTGGTGGATGTTGTTTGCTGAAAGATAACGTGACACAACGACGTTCACACTTCATGGACACTCCATCCACATGTGCCGTCCCAGACCTTCTTTTTTATCTTCCAGTTTTTCTCCCCAAAGGTCCCTGACCAGCCCAGCCAGGTCATTCCCCACTGCCCATAAGTCTATCTAGAATCCAACCTTGGGCCACTGCTCTGTCCACATGAAGTAGATACCCAGACCCACTGCCTGAGTGAGGCCCCGGTGCCACTGTCATCCATTTGTAGCTTAAACCCACACCCTGACCCATCCGAAAGCTAAGGCTCTTACCTCATTCTCAAGCGATTCCTATGAGATTCCCCTGTATGGCCAAAGGCATGCACTGAAGCAGGGGCATTGGTGAAACAGAGGTGGCAATGGCAAATGCACCAATGTGATATTCTGTGTAATGTCCAGACAGTCCCAATCTTTTCAGACAGAGGGCAGAGATTTGACAGAATCCTGAGCAAAACTGTAAATGAACACTGTCCATCTCACATGAGTGCAAACTGTTTCTCTTCCTCTTCGGATTGGGATAGAAAAGAATACATTTGCTGCCTCCTTGGTGATGTACCATGTACCTGAGGCCTTATCACACCACTCTAGCAAAGATCCCACACCTGCCATGGCAGTTACAATTGGGATTGCTTCTTGGTTGGGCTTATGGAAGTCAGTTGCCATCTTCCAGGACTTGGCTGCTGAACTAAATAGAGATACAAAGACTACCACCACTGCATCCTTTGTCTCCTGATGGGTAGCACTAATTTTCACCATCCTCCCCAGGATGCCATACTGTTTTTGACTTGCTTATGTGGCTGGGGAAAGGGCAATAATTTTAGAAGCTTCCATTTGGCTTTCTCCACTATGATAGCTCCTACCCTATCAGCCACAGACCCAATGTGGGTGCTGGGCCAATGTCTAGGTATGTATATCCGAATTATACATTTGAGGACCAGGGAAATGACCCCGATGGGTCCACAGACACAGTGGACCTTTGGCCAAGACTCCATTTATTTTTTGTTTCTGTATGCATGGTTCCCCAATCTAGAGAAGGACTGTGATGACACTTCAGGTCCCCAGATCTCAATTCCAGCTCTACCCCTTGAAATGTTTGCATTTTCCTCTTTCTCTACTGTGTGGCCAGCCTCTCACTCAGTTCATCACTTGGGGAATGGCTGTGGAATTGCTACTGTACGTAGTTGTGCAGGCAACCTGGTCACCTCTCCAATTCTTGGGTTCCAGGCTCAGAAACTGAGAAAGGCAGCATAATACTTTTTGGGAGTGACTGCATTCAGCCGCCTGACCATCCATCTTTGATTTCTTTTTATGGTGTAAGGTGGATATCGTCCTTGCAGTAGGCAGGCTTGACTTACTCTATGGGCATCCTGGAGCCAAAATGGCCCATCAGAGTTGTGAGTTGTCCTGCATTAGGCCAAAGTGGCCTGGCTTTCACACTGCCTCCATCAGTTATTAGATGTAGGCTGCCCTGGGGAGGGTGTGCCGGCTCTGAAGGAGGCCACAGCAGAAGGGAGGATTTCTAGCAGTTGAGAAAAGTCCTTTCTTGAAGTGGACCTAGGTGGCACATGCAGACTCTTTGGAGACGCCATCACAGATAATGAGGGAGGTTCCTGAGGACGTGAAAAAACAGGGTCAGAGCACAGGTGGATGGATTGAGCTTCAGTGCAAGGAGGGGCCTCTCTCACTGTCACAGAGCGAGCAGGAAATAAGATAGGGTCCAGTGAAGAGAAGGGTTTTAGGAGAGGGACAAGGAGTTGGGAAAATCTGGCCTGATCACCTCTGTTTTCTTTTCTTTCCCTCTCTCCCTCTCTTCCTTCCTTTTCTTTCTTTTGACTTTTCCTTTTGTTGGGAAAATCTGGCCTGATCACCTTTCTTCTTTCTTCCTCTCCTCTCTCTTTTCTTTGCCTTTCTTTTCTTTCCACAGACTTTTGCTCTTGTGGCCCAGGCTGGAGTGCACTGGCACAATCCAGCTCACTGCAACCTCTGCCTCTCAGGTTCAAGCAATTTTCTGCCTCGGCGTCCTGAGTAGCTGGGATTACAGGTGTGGACCACCATGCCTGGCTAATTTTTGTATTTTTAGTAGCAATAAGGCTTTACTGTGTTGGCCAGGTTGGTCTTGAACTCCTGACCTCAGGTGACCCTCCCCTCTTGGCTTCCCAAAGTGCTGGGATTACAAGCATGAGCCACCGTGCCCAGCCTATCAGAAGCAAGGGCGTCTGCTGAACCTGGACTTGGGTCAGCTCAGGGCTTGGGAGCATAGTCAAGGGGAGTGAGAGAGGACGCTGTCTAGGGACTGCAGGGCAGGGTTTCAGGGTGCTGATATTGGGCATGACTGGCTGTGACCCCCTGCCTGTGTGTTCCCCCCAGCAGTGACGGAGAGGAGCACTGACGTTTTGATACATGGATAACCAGTGAAACCATCCTTACAATCCAGATTTAGAAATGTGCCATGCCAGCCAGGCCTTGAACTCTCCACCGGTAGGTAACTTGGTTTCCTTAACCTTTGAGTCTTCCTAGCTGATGAAGGGGCATCTATTTTGGTTCCTCAGATCACAATGTAAAGGGATAAACAGCCGTGATATAGCCATACAATGGGGCACTGCTTAGCAAGCTGCTGACACACACACAGATGAACCCAAGATAATTATGATGAAGGAAGAAGTCAGACAAAAAACAGTACATACGGAGTGATTCCGCTAATATAAAACTCAGGAAAACGCAAACTCATCTGTGCGGCAGGAAACAGATCAGTGGTTGGGGCAGGAGTGATTACTGAGGAGCAAGAGGGGTACTGGATGCATTCACTCTGGACTGTGATGGCTTCACTGGTTATACATGTGTCAAGACTTCAATTTGTACACTTTAAATACATGCAGTTATTGTATGTTAATCACATTTTAATAAAGCTGTTTAAATATTGACCTGAAAGCAAACTGTATTATTGAATCATCGATAATTAGCAAATAGAACAAAACAATGGAAAATGCCCTCTTAAATTTCAATTTAGTCAACTTAGATCTATGAGAGATTTAAAAAACAGATCTTTCATGGGGTTCCAAGTTAAATCCTAAAGTCAGGTGTAACAGAATCTGACAAAGTGGGCTGTTTTCTTTTCCCACGTTCTCAACCCATTGAAGGCTTCCTTATTTCAACTCTGTAATGTCCCAAAGAGTTTAAGGGGTCTCTCCATGGGTATGACAATGGGATGATTCATGGTGCTTCTCATGAAACTCTATTGCGATCCTTTCTACTTCTCTGAAAAGCACCTGTTTTTATTTGCATTTTACAGACGAGGAAACTGAGTCTCAGGGAGATTAAGGGCGTAGTCTGAGGCCTGTGCTTGTACACGATTGCAGCTCGGGACTCGGCGTCCAAAAGGGTGCCTGCCCGTCCTCCTGCCAACTTAGTAGACACAATTTTCCTTTCTAAAGGCTTTCTCCCAATACCCTTGCCATTCTTAATTAGGGCTAGCTACAATGGAGGCCTCCCTGGAGTTAAAGGGCTGCTAGGAGGAGGAGGTGGGACGAGAGATGGCTGTTCTCAGAGTGCTTAAAGAACTAATTAAAAGTGAATGTCTGTAGGGCGCCGTGTCAAGGCCTGGGAGGGCGGTGCGGCTGGCTTCAGTCCTTGAATGCCCCACCTCAATAATAATATATTAATTAGGGCGGGGGCAGGGAACAAAGCGAGGGAGAGTTCTGTTGGGCGCCCGTGGGCTCCTAGAGGTCACCGTCGGACTCTGCGACTAAAATGGGTTTTCCCGGCGCGTCCAGAGAGGTAATGGAGTGCGGCTGAGGCCAGCAGGACAGCCCAGGACAGCAAGGTCAAGTCTCGGTCTACTCAGCTCAGGGCCGGCAGCCGCCCCGCCCCGACCACGCCCCCAACCCAAGCCCCTTCCGAGCTCGCCCCGCCCTGATCACGCCCCTCACCCCGCCCCTCCGGGACCGAAAGCGAAAGCGCGCCCGGCCTCTCGGCGCTCGCTCGATCGGGTCTGGCCGGGCTGGCGGCTGTGACGACCCGGCGCTGTGGGTCCGGAGCTGAGAACGGCATGGAGGGTCCGGTGGCCGCCGCGGGCTGGGACGTCTCCCTTCACAACTTCAGTGCGAGGCTGTGGGAGCAGCTGGTCCACTTCCACGTCATGCGGCTGACGGACTCGCTGTTTCTGTGGGTGGGGGCCACTCCGCACCTGCGCAACCTCGCCGTGGCCATGTGCAGCCGTTACGTGAGTGCCTGGCGGCAGAGGGTGCGGGCTGCGGGGCGGGGGCGTGGGGGCGCGGGGACTGCGCGAGCCCCAGGCCTCTCCTGGCTCCACTGGTCGCCCGACTCCCCCGAAGCTCTCCTGCGGTATGTCTTAGGGAACCCGCGGGCGCCCGGGCCTGCACCACCCCGGGAGCTGAGCGCGGGCCCCGAGCCCCTCTCCCTGTCCCGCCGCCCTGCGACTGCGTCCCGTGGTCTCTGTAGGTCAGAATGTCCTGGACCTCTCCTCGCCGCGCGCGCTCGGGGACTCGTCTACCTCGTAGCTCTCGTGTCATCTGGATTTTGACCACGCTGATAATTTTTAGGGGACTCCTGCTTCTCCACTTGATATCTCAGGCACCTTGCAACAGGCAAACACCAGGCTCTCGCCCCCACACCTTTCCCTCCCTCCGCGTGCGCGGTGCTGTAATGGCAGCTCCATCCTCCTCGTTGTCGTCTTTGATTCCTCTTTCTTCACACTTCTCTTTCTCAGCATTCCACGCGCTGATTCTCCAGGCACTGCCGCCAGTCAAAGCAGACAAAACCCAAGCCCCCCTCACCTTCACCTTGCCACGCTGGGCCGAGCCTGGGACATCACCATCTCCCCTCCTCTCCCGCCTTTACAGCGTTCCGCATCGCTGCCTAGTGTCTCCTGGTTTCTTGGGGCTGCTGTCGGGAAGTGTCACAGACCTAGCGACTTAAAACTGTAACAGAGGTTTATTCTCACAGTTCCGTAGGCCAGAAGTCTGAAATCACGGTGGCGGCTGAGTTAGTTCCTTCTGGAGGCCCCCGATGGAGAAACCATCCCAAGCCTCTGTCTGCTTCTTACGGTGCTGGCGATACTGCGTGGTCCTTGGCATGCCGATGCCTCACTCCAGTCTCTGCCTCTGCCATCACATGTCCATCTTCTCCCTGTGTGTGTCTCTCTGTATTTCCCTCTTCTTTTTAAAACATTAAACTTTTTTTTTTTTTTTTTAATAAAGATGGGGTTTCACCATGATGGCCAGGTTGGTCTTGAACTCCTGACCTCAGGTGATCCACCCACCTCTGCCTCCCAAAGTGCTAGGATTACAGGCGTGAGCCACCGCGCCCGGCCTAAACATTTTTATTTATTTATTTTAGGCTAGTCAAGTGGAGCAGTGGGAGTGGAAAAGGAACAGGAAATCTGACCGGTTGTGATTGGTTAGTTGTAAACACCACTCCACTCAGACCAGCCTCTTCTCTTCGTTTTTTTTTTTTTGAGACAAGGTCTCTCTGTCACCCAGGCTGGAGTACAGCGGCATTATTGTAGCTCACTGTCACCTCAAATTCCTGGGCTCAAGTGACCTTTCTTCCTCCACTTCCTGAGTAGCTATGACTACAGACATGTGCCACCATACCTGGCTAATTGTTTTTTTTTTTTTTTTGGAGATGGGGGTTCTCACTGTTTTACCCAGGCTGTTCCTGAACGCCTGGCCTCAGTGATGATCCTCCTTCCTCAGTCTCCCAAAGTGAGTCTGACCCTTTTCTCATAAGGACATCAGTGATGTTGGATTAAGGGCCCACCCTACTCCAGTATAACCTTGTCTTAAATCAGATTTTTTTTTTTGAGATTAAGGATTGCTCTGTCACCCAGGCTGGAGTACAATGGTGCAATCTTGGCTCACTGCAACCTGTGCCTCCCAGGTTCAAGTAATTCTCCTGCCTCAGCCTCCCGAGTAGCTGGGATTACAGGCACGGGCCATCATGCTGGGCTAATTTTTGTATTTTTAGTAGAGCCGAGGTTTCACTCTTGGCTAGGCTGGTCTCGAACTGCTGAACTCGTGACCCACCTGCCTTGGCCTCCCAAAGTGCTGGGATTACAGGCGTGAGCTGCCACTCCCAGCCTGAATTACATCTTAATTACATCTGCAGAGACCCTATTTTCAAACAAGGTCGCGTTCATAGGTACCCAGAGGTTAGCACTTCAGCATATTTTTTTGTGGGGCACAGTTCAGGCCACAACACTGCCTTGAAACCAGGGCAACAGAATGATAGTTTTAAGACTGAAGTTGGATATTTTCATTTCTCTGCTCAAAACCTTTCAGGAGGTGAACTCAGAGCACCCAAAGACTCCAGTGACCTTCGGGCTCTGTTACCCCTTAGAGCTCCTCCCTGCCCTCACAATCAGTAGTGCTGCTCTTCCGGCCTTGTTAGCTCCCTCTCTCAGCTATTGAGTGTTCCATGGTGAGGTTTGTCTGGTTGTCCAGGGTGAGTGTGTGTATCCCTAGCTCCTGATACGCTGCTCTCTATGGCCTAGTGGAATGAATGAGTGAGGCCGCCTTAGTGAGGCTATTCTGAGGAAGTGAGCCTTCCTGCCTTAGTCAGGCAGTGAAGACTGAGGATGCTGGGGGCAGGAAGTCATGGGCAAGCCCTTTAGTTGTGCCTGACAATACCTGGAAAGGCCTCAGGAAGGAGATGGCATTTGAATTCTTTTCTTGCTTTTCTTTTCCTGGGTGTTTCCTTATTTTAAATAAAGCTGTTGTTTTAAGCCATGTAGCCTGTGACACTTCCTGGGTGTTTCCTATTTTTTTTTTTTTTTTTAAATTTTCTGGAGGGTCCTGGTGGTGGGCCTTTGAGCAGGCAGCAGTGGAGGAGGCCTGTGGGGACCATGGGTGATGGGTGGGGTCGTGTGCTCTGTGCTACCTCTCATTCTTTCCTTAATCCCAAGACTTTAGTAATAGTGGGCAAGGCTTTGGGCACTGGTCAGACCTGGTGTCGCTTCCTTGTCTCCCTTTGTGCAGTGTTGGTTTGGGCTAGCAAGTTTGGAAGAAGTAGGCTCCTCTTGTGGGCGGCTTTGGTCACCCCACCACATGGTGGTCACAGCTCCCAGTGGGGTGTATTTTCCTCATCTGGAAAGAGACCCTCCAGCAAGTCCAGGCAGGAAAAGGAACAGAGGACTGATTCAGTTATCTGACCTGTCAGAAGTCCAGCCCCACTCTTCACTGGCCACAGTGTGCCTGGAAGTTCTCCCCAGGGACAGAGGGCTGAGCCAGCTGGGGAAAAGAGGTGCAGGCCTTAGCCTGAGGCAGGAAGCACAAGCTTCCTGTGGCCCGTGGGCTGGCCCTTCATCTACCGTCCATGCAGGTAGAGTCTATGGGAGCTTTTGCACTTTGGTGGCAGGGCTGAGAAGTTCTAGTAGACTTTGTAGCCCATAAAGCCTAAACTCCTTACTCTTTGGCCCCTCTCAGGAATTTTACCAGCCTACGTGTGGAGAATGGCTCCAGATGATGTGTGAGGTCTCCTTCCTTCCGCTTCCCCAAACTCCTATGTGTAAGACTGTAGGCAACAGAAACAATGCAACCTGGAGCTGGCTGACCTTGGATTGAGCAGGGATTTTTGGCGCCCAGAGAGGCTGTAGGACTGGTGACACTGAGTCCTACCAGCCTGGGGGAAGCTGGCCTGGGACCTGGGCCCCTGCCTGTTCCAGGATTCTTGGACCCTCAGCCGGTTTCTAGGAGTGGAAGGCGGTGCTTCAGCTGCAGCAACGCCTCTGGGTATGCATCTGCTGTGAGACCGCAGTCCTGGTGCGATTTTTGAAATAATAAACTGTGAAGAAGGGTAACACGAAGGGGCTTTACTTTTTACTTTTGGTGGAAAAGACCACCCTGGGTAAGGTAGATTTTCTTTTTTTCTAGGAGGTTTAACTATAAATACTATTACCGTGCAGTTAAATGTTGAACTTGAGGAATCTGTGTACGGCAGGCTCATTAAGATCATATTTTTTTGTATCATTTTCAGTGAAAAAGCATACAGTAAATGCTTTCATCCTTCTGTGCGTTTTGATCTGTCTTTTGTAAAGTCGCTTTGAGCCTTTAGGAGATGAGCAGCGCCTTTGGTCTGTGCCATGCTGTACTGTCGGACGCGCAGTAGCTTTGTTCCGTTCACTTGTCCCCACCAGGACAGTTGGGGTGGCAGGGGGACCAAACCCCAAAGTCTCTGTACCTCTAGAAATCTTGCCACTTTCTAAGATTTTCAGACCTCTGTATCCAGGCTGCTTATCCTAGAAATCTGCTATATTGATAAGAGCAATTTTGGCCATATTACCAATAAGTTTTTTTTTTCTTTTAAGCTAGACCTTCTTTACTTTTTTTTTTCTTTTAATAAAAATGTAGAAACAGCGTCTCACTTTGTTGCCCAGGCTGGTCTCAAACTCCTGGTCTCAAGCATTCCTGCCTCCACAGGCTCCCAAAGTGCTGGGAGCACTTATGGAACTAGCTAGACATTTTTAATGGTGAGAGATTGCTCCCAAAGTAGTTGGGAGCAGGTTACCCCCGCATCTCCGAAGGCCCATTTGTTGATGTGAGCATCACTGGTGCTGCTTGTTTCACCTTATTGCTTCTTGTCTGAAATGCGGTTGGCCAAGCATGTTCGGAGTTGTTGTATTCCCTATTTGGATGCTGGTGGCTGGTGCCCTTTCTCAAAGTCATAGGACACTTGCTGACCCCGAGGAGCCCGCAGGGGCTGGAGTGGCATGCTCCCTCATAGGCTGAGATGGGGAGATTAGGCGTTCTGCCTCTGTGCTAGCTGCTGTGGGGTGCCAGGTACCAGGGCACAGGTGCCCAGACTGGAAGTCACCTCCTTCTTGCTGTGGCCTGAATGATCTTGTTTGCTTCCCTTTTGATTGTAACGTTGACCTTCATTCAGCATGCTTTGGAGTTTCAGACCCTAAAATGAGCCCTTCATGTGAAATTGGTCCTGAAACTTATTAACAGCACTGTGGTTCCATCTTCATCTGTCCCAACTATATCAACCTTGTATGTGACATGGGGTCTACCTACTTGGGTGTTGACGGATGCCACCCCCTCTTTCCCTCGGTTACCTGTGTCTGCCCTCTCAGAATCTGCCACTGCTGCCCTTGTGAAGAATCAGAAGCCCCGACGCCAGAAGTGTGGCTGGCCTGCGGGGGCTGGAGAAGCTGCAGTGCCCTTTGCTTTTCTTTTAGGACTCCATCCCCGTGTCTACCTCTCTCCTTGGAGACACTTCCGACGCGACCTCCACTGGCCTTGCCCAGCGCCTAGGTACGTACCCACGGCTGGTGCTGCAAGCCAGCCAGGTGGGAGCCCCACTCTAAAGGAACCATGAGGCAAGTCCCTTTGGAAGTAAAGAATCTTCATGTTGAGAACAATCACCTCATTGGTGCTGGGAAGCTCAGACCTTTGCATGTTGTGCCTTCTTTAAGGGACACATCCGTGCCCACCTGTCACTGCCACTGTCCCAGGTCTGGCCTGTTCCCAGAGGATGCCTACTTCGTCCTCGGCTTGAGTCCACGAGCCGATTTCCCTTTCATAAGTGCCTTACCTCCTCCTGGGAGAAGAGAGTGAGCAGTGCCCACAGCCCTTGTGTGCAGTGGCTCAAGGTGTAGCCTCCAGCGTCTTAGGAGGAGTCATTGCAGCTGGTGGAGCAGGTGTCACCTGTGCAGGAAGGACTGTCCTTCACTCACAGTGTGATGCGCCTCAGGGCTGGGAGGGGAGACTGGCCTGGCCTGTGAGTGTGGCATAGAGCAGGGATTAAGGAAAGGCAATGAGGCTGAAGGCTCCGCCCCTCCCACACCCCAGCACATACTTCCTGTACATACCCAGGTGGGCCAGGTAAGGATGCTGTGTGTTCTGTGATGCCCAGCCCCAGTACCTGTGGCCGGTGTGCACAGGATATCTGTCTCCTGCCCAGACTTGGCCATCTCTAGCTCGCCCAGATGCTTCTGCTGTGGAGTCAGTGACGGAGTCCCTCTGTGTCTTGGGCAGAGAAGGACCTGATCCCTGACAAGCCAGAACCTCTGTGTCAGTCACACTGAGGTGAATACACATGAACAGCATGGCATGTGGCCCCGGGGAGCGCTGGCCAGCGAGGGAAGGCAGGGCAGGGTAGAGCGTCCCCAGCAGGCCCAGGGCAGTGTGTGGAGAGGACAGAGATCAGGGAGGACACAGGTCAGCATTTCAGGAACTCGAAGTATTCTTTTTCACTCCCCTGGAGGTAAAGACTTGACTTGTAAGTTACTTTGGTAATTTTTAACCAGGAAGTAATTTAAAATTTACAGAAAAGTTACACAGAAGATAGAATTCCTGCTTAGCTTTCGCCCCGATTTCCCGATTGCCGTCCTTCCCGCTTTGTGTTTACATCTTTTTTTTTTGAGCCACATGAAAGTAAAAGCCCTCTTTTGTGTCCGTGTGTTACTTTGTGTTTGTGAATATGTAAGGGGTAGCACGCTTAGATGGAACAGGTTACTGTGTGGCCCTGGCTGGTGGGAGAAGGCTCAGGAAGGTGTTCATATTTATACAGACAAAAAGCTGGGTGGGGTTGCAGAGACACTCCAGTAGAGAAGGTGCTGTGAGCTTGTCTGGCAGGCTGTAAATAACTTTTATATCAATAAGGTAAATTAGGCTCCAGAATGTCTGTGAGATGGAGGCCTCGTATCTGTATGCAAAAAAGGGGTTCTCAGTATCTCGACAAGTCGAGTGTGCTGTGGCTTCCAGCATCTCTGAAGGGACTGGTGCTGCAGAGCTCAGACCAAGAAGGGGTTGTCCAGCAAAGTCCTGTACTATGCCAGTTGTCTCGAGCCTGGGCCTTGGCCCTAAAGTTGAAAACGCCCTGTAATGAAAAGGGAGTGATGTCCCTAGTCAGTATCTTACTTGGGAGATGAAAGCAAGTAGGGAAAGGGAAGGCCTGGGGGGTTCTGAGTAGCTCTGGAAGCATCGCAGGAGTTGATGTGGCCAAGGGGAACCCCCCCTCCTATGGCTCTGGAGGGCAGAGCTTGGGTCTGAGGGGGATGATGCCTCCACACACAGCTTTGTTTCCTGTCTCTGCAGTTAGAGCAATTGGAATCCCAGGGGGCCCCCTTGGGGTAGAGGGGATCTTCCTGCCCCTGGGAGAGGGCAGGGCGTGACTTACAGACTCCTCCTGGCCAGGCTTGGCGAGACCCAGCTTCCTACCACATTGCCTGCCTTCAGATCACCCTCTGCACGAGTGGCCCCAGCCTGCCTAATGGAGCTAGGAAAGGGTGAGGCTGGTCCCTGCAGGGCTGAGCAGATAACTGGGCACAGCTGTCTGCCTGTGTGGCACACTGCACCCAGCACGGTGGTCTGAGGCTCTGTGCTAAGTACTGTAAGCTGTTCTTTAAACACCAGCTCTTGGAATAACCGAACAGCCACCTTTCACCACACACATTCCTTTTTTTTTGAGAAAAACCGCTTTACCTCGATGTAAACACATGCCATACAGTTCAGCACTGTCCTGTGGCAGAGGGTGAGCTCTCCACCTTCTCATTTTCTCATAGGTGCATTGGCTGCCATGTAGGGACAGTCAGTTAAGCAATCCCCAAGACCCCTTCAGCCGTAAAAATCACAAAGCCTTGTACAGCAGAAAAACAGGCCTTTGGGGTCCTGGGCTCTCTCCTTCCTCAATTTACAAACAAAGCTGGAAGAGGTGTCTAGGCCATGGTGGGGCCTGTGCCCACGCCTGCACCCCCAAGCGACACTGCCTCTCAGGGTTCTTCGTGGGACTGTAGCTCAGACAGCAGCAATTGAAAGGATAGAACTGCTGCCTGTATGAGATCCTGTGACGTGTGTTCTAAATCAGCCTTTAGTAATGGTGCAGGTGGCCTCGTGCCCCTCAGCCTCACCGCACCACCTTTCTGCCTTTTGGTGATGAGGCTAAGTACATGGTTACCATATGCAGAGGTGGGGACAGGTCAGTGCCTCTCCAGAGGTGAGTAGATCCTGCACTGGCCCTAGGTGTGGGTGTGGGGGAGGCTGAGGGAGGAGGCCCTGCACTGGGACAGGCAGCATTGAACTGCCTTAGCCTTCCTGCCCACATGTTTTCAGGGTATCAGCTTTTAGATTTCTGGGCATGTGACTCTGCTTGATTTTTACATTTGGCCCAATGTGCACCTCAGCTATTTTTTATTGATTCTGTGGAAAGGGGCTAAAACTTACATTCACTAGAAAATTACATGTGTGTCCACATGTCTATATATACACACATGAATGTGTGTGTATGTATACACATACATGCAAATGCATGGAAATGCAGGATTACCATTGGGAGAGAAGTGGAACTGGTTAGGGGTGGGGTGGTGCTGAAGGAGAGCTTTAATATTTTATTTAAAATACTTTATATTTTGTGTTTTTAAAAAATTAAGAAAAAATGAGAACACCAAAAACCCATCTGTGTAGAGCAGAGGTTCTTAAGCAGTGCAGGGCACCTGCAGGGCCTGTCCCTGCAGACAGCTGGCCCCAAATCCTGGCTTTCTGGTTCAGGAGGGCTGGGTGGGGCCCAGGAGCTGCCTCTCAAACAAGTCCCAGGGAGGCTGCTGAGGTGGGGCATGCCCTTCAGATCCCCGGGTCAGGTGCAGAGACTGGGAGAGTCCTGAGTGACTCCTCTGCATTTGCAGCACCTGCCTGAAGAGAGGCGTGGAGATTAGAGCTTGCTTCTCTCCCTCCAACCCCTCCTCTTTCCCAGCATTTCCCAGCTGCATGTGGGTGTGAGGAACACGGCCTGCAGCGTTTCAGGCATGGCTATACCAATGTGTTTTCTCTTTTTAGCCAGGAAGACCAACAAACAGGTGTTTGTCAGCTATAACCTTCAAAACACAGACAGTAACTTCGCATTACTTGTAGAAAACAGGATCAAGGAAGAGATGGAGGCTTTCCCCGAAAAGTTCTAGCTGAGTGGCAGCAGTGAGAATTTGTAACTTATGTACAATGTACATGTAAATAAATGGATCGAATTTTGATTTATCATCAGGCTGCTTTCCCATTTTGTTTTTAAGGGGTTAATCTTTTGAGCTTCCTTCTCAGCAGTGTGTGGGCCAAAAGGCTTATACTGAGCCACCTGGGGAAGGCGAGGCAGAGTGGGAGGTACACACGTCCTCATTTGGCTCTGAGTGCTAGAGGGATGAAATAGGATTTTTGTTGGGATTGAAGGCTGTAATCTAATCTAAAAGAGTTTCAATTAGACAGGACTGTTATGTACATCTAGAATTAAAGTGCTTTATAAATATGCTTTAGGTTTGTGTGTGCATTCTTCAGAATTCCGCCTTGTGAATTGATGCATTGATCTCTTCACTGCGGTGACCCCTCCCCAGGGCACTTCTCTTCTTGCTGTGTTTTCCCTAAACCCTTCCTCTGGGGACTCCTTTTTTGCTGTGTTCTCTCTTGGGCCTACATTTGAGCACCTCCCTATGTTGCCCCATTACTACATTTGTGGTCTGGTGAAGTCTGACTTCTCTAGGCTCTGTCTTCTCATCTATGAAGTGGGAGTAATCCCCACATTGATCAGTTCTTGTTAAGATTAAGTAGGTAGGTAGAAATGCTTTGCAAACTATGGCAGTTAAATGTCAGTTATGCTTTTATCCCTTTTTATGGATTCAGAGGCTTCAGGTCCTTCTTGCTCTTCCTGTCATTTCATCATCTTCCCTTCTTCCCTCTCTTATATCCCCAATCCAGAGTACCTCAGGCACCTGCTCTGGTCATTTGTACTCCTTAGCCTTTAATCTTTAATCCTACCACTTGAAGTAGGTTCCGGTCTTGGCCCTTCTCCAGAGGTTCAGATGGTCTGGGGCCCAGGCTTTGGCAGGATTGAAAACCCCCCTGGTGCCTCTGTGCAGGCAAGGTTGAGGACTGCTGGCAAAGAACTTCCTAATCTCTGGGGTCCATCTGAACCCTTTTGTTCAGAGGCAGATGGTTCAGGACCCTGTAACATGTTTCATTCAGAGGGAGAGTCTTGCACTGTGCCAGCAGCAGGCAAATAGAGGTGGTGACCCTGGCCAGGATGGAAAGGCGCTTCGGAGGAGTAAGTCTGTGGTTCCGGATGCTTCCCTCCTTTGCAGACTGTCCGTGCTAACCTCAAGGCCTTGGCCAGTCTCATTGCAGCTTGCAAAGCCAAGTGGACACCTCTCTGGGAATATAATAATAAGTGACACAAAATCAGGGCTATGGAGAGAAGAGTTTGGTATAAATACTTTATTAAAGAAATATTGTCATTTTCGTTAAAAAATACTACATTAGAGAAGAGAGTTTTGGGTTACCAGTCTTTCCTCACAGAATCACAGTGTAAGATACTCATTCTTGAGACGTCTCTAGGAACCTTCAGACCACGGATCAGCAGAACATAAATGAACAAGGGAAAAAAATTCCTAATTTTACTGATGGCCCCCATCTCAGGTGGTCTGAGTGGCACTCGGTAAACAATGTGTGTTTAATCCAGCCTCTGCCTCTGACTACGTTTAAGACCAGGACTCGAAGCAGAGTGAGCCGCCTCCCTCCATCCCACTCGGGGTCAATGAAGACAGCTCACAGAGGCGTTAACAGTAGTGATGCAGTGAGGTCTGAATGAACGCGGACTTGATTACTCATCAGTGGTAGTGAAATGCCCTTCGTTGGATACCATCAGGTGAGGTAGCGAAGACATTCCAGAGGAAATCTGTTAATGGGGCAACATTTTTATTTCTGTACATTTACATACAAATTTTCCCCAAAGGTACAACAGATGGGACACCATGCAGACACACAGCTGTGAAGGACAGTTCAGAACTCAGTGTAAGCTTGTGCTATGAACGAGCACCGTCAGAGAATCCCCACCCACACGCACAGAAACACGGTTACTATGTTACAACCTCAGAACAGGGAGGGAAATGTTCCCCACTAGACAGGACACACCATGCTGCTTTTCCAAAACACAGGGCACATGGAAGTGAGGCGGTGCCTTCCAGACAAGAGGACAGTGGGAGTGCTGGCCTCTCCCGCATGTGCGGCACCTTGGGCCGGGTGGTGTGATGTCACAGGCTCACTTATGGTACTTCCAGTTTGGGATTGCTCATTTGGCTCTAGGAAGTGGTGGTGTCTTGGGTGCTATACTTCCCTTCCAAGGTTTGTTTTTGTTTTCTTTCTGTTCTGTAGCCAAACCATCTTACCAGTAGGGGATCTTACTGTCAGTAAACAAAAACATTTAACCCTTTTTCCTGTTTGTGATAACTAGAGTATTTGATAAGAGTTTGACTTCAGGAAAAGAAGAAAGTGAAGAAATGTTCAGCTCCATCTCAGGTGTTCATAATTGTGCATAATTTTATTGAAAGGCTGACAGGTAGGCTGGTAGAACGCAGGGGTGTGTGGAGGAGAGTAGCAGGGGGTGGGAGGGCCAAATTGAAACACTGGGTGCCTGAGAAGGCTCTATTAGCCAGGAAGGGAACAGGACTGAGGGGCTCAAGCGCGACAGACTGCTGGGAAGCAGGCGGCCGTAGCAGCCTCCCCTGCAGAGCCTGGCGGCCTAGACGTGTGTCAGGCTTGGGTGGGCCCTGCCGCCTTACTCACTTGGTACCAGATTTCCTGTGGGCATAGCCCACAGAGAAGCATTGCTCTGGTAACATTTCATAAAGTGCTTCTTGGCAGCCTCAGCTATCCCTAGGCTGAAGCTGCAACAGAACGGGCACCCAGCCTCCTCCTGAGGTTGCACTGGGAGGAGAGCTGTGGGACTGCCTTGCTGTCTGAGAGACATAATCCGCTAACCGTCGGCTAGTCAGCCTCACACCCGCTGGACTCTGGTCCCAAGAGCCCAGGCCTAAAGCTAGCCCCTTTTCCAGTCACTGATGGATTAGTCCTGATGGCAGAAGTGCTGAGCACTGTCTTTGTTGGAGGATTTTTATTGTCATTTGAGGTGGAGACCAGAGACCACGACTGGAAGAGTACGAGTGCTGTACCTTGCCGCCGCCTTCCTAGAGACTTCGGGCAGCACTCTACAGCTTCAGTTTCTAAAAAAAACTGTTTACACGACCAGTATGCGACTGCTTGCAACTTCCATCACTTAGCAAGTCCTTCCACAGTATAGCAAGTGGACTGCGGGGTGGCCTGTTGCTGAGGGTGATGGGTGCAGATGTACACATGTCCAGGTGCAGGTTCAGGGGCTCGCTGGATCCTTCTCACCTTCCCCCCTTCCTCAACTGCCTAGTGGCCTGGCTGCTGGACAGGTCCTATTCTGTACGTAATGGGGTTTGTTGACAGGTGGCTTTGTAGCAAGTACTCCAAAAAAGGTAAAAGGAATTTCACAAATTTGGCACGCAAAGGCTGCACAGATCTAAAGAAAGGCCTTTGTATAGGTGAATGCAAACTAATGTTGAAACATGGAAATGTGACTTTAAAAAAGAGGGAAGGTGAGGAGGAGCTGGACGTGGAGCAAGGGAAGTGAGGAGAGGCCGGCCAGACTCCCTTCCTGGGCGTCTCAAGACCCCAGGTGTTGGCCTGGCCCAGCCACTGGAAACAGGAGTCTGCTTGCCTCTTGCTGTGTCTTTACATATCACTACGCTCCTACTGATGTGTGGACAGGATGTGGAGGAGACATGGGTGGAGACAGCAAGAAGCAGGCCAGGTGGAAAGCTGGAAGGGGAGATAACCCCTTTTCTGCCCTGTGAATTCTAGCAACCATCGGAAGTCAGTTCATTGTCTCACCCAGGCCTGAGACCACAATTTCCCTGGATGGACACAGTTTGTCTCCATGGCAAAGACACACTTTGAGAACGGGTGAATTGAACAATTCCAGTAAGAAGCCAGGCTGTCCAGAAAAGCTGGTGCCCAAGTTGCTATAAAGTGGTGCCTGCCTTTACCAAGGAGGCTGTCTCTTAGCGGCCCTGGATGTCCTACAAGATTCCTCTGAAAATGCCAAGAGGAAACCTTGACTTTCTGGGGTGAAACGAGGAACATGAAGAAACCCTTGGAGATCGGGGCAGGGGCAGCGTTGAGCTTTGGTGAGTTATTGCTTTCTCTCAATTTGTCTTGGTGCTTTTGAGAGGCTGGAGGTCATTTGTACTCACCTATGAGGATTCAATCTTGGCTCCCTGCCCGAAGCCCTGCCCCTGTGCTGAGCCAATGACTAAAAGCAGGAAGCCGGCCCAGGAAGGCAGGCGTGAGGGGGCCCAGCTCCTGCAGGTGCTTCCTGGAGTGATGTCTGAGGGATGGCCATCCAAGCTGGTGATCTTCGTGGTGTGTGCTCGAGGTGTGGGTGATGGGTGTGTGTGGGAGGGCAGCCCCGCTTCTGTGGATTTGCTTCCACCATCTTTTTGAGTTATTTTCCTATTGTTTGTAGCTTAGAAAGGAGCCATGTTTTCAAGTAGTGCCAGCACAAGGGCTGGCTGTGCACGAGGGGCTGTTCTGCTGGAGCCAATCTGGGAGAGGAGGAATAAAAACGAGCACAGCTCAGGCCTCGACGCATCTGTTAGCTGTGTACTCATAAAGCTGTGGCGATGTGACTGCTGCTCCGTTAAGATTTCTGGTGAAATGTTTAAGCTTTTTCTCCAAGAGCTTTCAGCATCAAGTACAAAAGGATGATCCTGAAGGAAAGGTGCAGCTGGTTTTAATGGTGTCTGGGAGCTGTTTTCTCCTGCATATGGAACAGAAGCTCTTACCTTACAAACAGAAGGGGAAAAGGACCTTAAAAAACCATTGCAGACTCTCTAGCAAAAGCCTAATTCATGTACATTTCACTCTGTCTAAAATGCAGTCCCGGAAACGCTCCATGGTCATGTCCTGCTTCTGCACACAGGCAGGCAGTGTGGGGGGCTCCTGACGGCAGAGGTGACATCTGGCTCCCGGGTGCTGCGAGGAGCCGCGTCCCATCTCCGGAGAGGGGCAGGCCGTGGCCGTGATCACTGTGGCAGCTTCCCAGAGTGCCCATGTCTTGCTGCCGAAGGAGGTGATGCCATTTGTGATCAGTGAGAGGGAGAGGAAATAAAGTGCTTCTTGTAAAAATGACCAAAATAAATACAAACATTTAATGGCAGAAAAGAAAGTCTTGGAAGGGTTATTTCCAAAGAGTTTGTCTCCTCCGACCTGTGCTCCTTGGACTTTTAGAAAGACAGGATTTCCCCATACCACTTGAGAGGCTCAGCTTGGGTGAGGCAGCTTTCCCACCCCTGGCCATGTGTTCGGTCCCCGGTCTGTAAACCTGTGTCCAAGCTGCCCCAGATCCTTGAGCCCCAGGTTTTGCAGGCCCGGCTACATGGCCTTCATGCCATTGGCTGTGGCGCCCTCAGGCAGCGTGTCCCCTGTGGCTGCGGCATCGTGGAGGCCTGAGTAGTCCTTGAGCTCAGCATTGGTGAGCAGCAGTGGCTGCTCCCCCTTCTTGTGCGGCAGCAGTGGCTGGCGCGTGTAGTGCTCCCCATTGGAAATGTTCTCAGGCAGGTTCTGGTCCCTGCTCTCGGGCAGCAGGAGGATGCAGATGATGCAGATGAGCGTGCAGCAGGCAAAGATGATGTGGTGCAGGAAATAGCCTTTCTGGTTGTGCAGCTCGATGATGGGTGCTGTCAGCATGCCGAAGCCCGCGCTGGCCAGCACCAGCCCCAGCCCGCCACATCTGCAGGGGGAGGGAAGCACAGGATGAGCCACTTTGGCCCAGCGGCCAGATCCCGGGAAACCTTGAGGTGGACTGGGGAGCTGCCTCTGCAGGGGCCCTGCTGCCCTGGGCACTGCCCAGTGTACCACGACCTTGGACATCCCATACCACCTGCACCCTGGCTGTATCTGTCCCGGGCCACTCTAGGTCAGTGACTGTTTTTCCTCATGAATTTGAAAACTTTTACTTACTTTTTTATTTTATTTTTCTATTTTTATTGTTTTTTCAGGGCTAGGGGACCATGAGAGCTTGCCTTAAGTAATATACAAGGAAAAATGAAATATAATTAAATTATGCCATTTCCCCAAGGCAGGGGGATTACCAAGGGTTAAAGAGGGTACTAAGGACATATCAGCGAGGACAGAGACTTTCTCTTTGTCATAACTGGAGAGATTGCAAGATACCTTAAAAGAGTGATTTCTTCACTGAGTTGATGTCCCACGTGTCTCCTAAAATTGCTCTGTGAACCACCAGTAGACACTGTCCCATCTCTGAGGATTGTGCTTGAAGGGTCCCCCAGGTGAAGCTGTGCACTGACAGAGAGGGATTCACTGCAGCTCTGAGCTCAGGACAACCAAAACCCAGAAGGCCAGCCATTGATCTGCACTCCCTGTGTGCTCCAGGTGTGGGAGCGGCCAAGAGTCCGAGGATTAGTAGAGACACAACACCTACAAAACCCCTATCCCTTAAACCTCTCTACCTTGACCCAAAAACACATTACTGGAACTGAGGTGTTCTCTGGCCCCTGAGAAAGCAGTGCTGTGCCAGGCTGCAGTAGGACCGTGGTGCTCAGGTAACAGGCCAGGGCAGAGAGGGCTGCCTGGTCCCCAGTTCTGGGGCCTCACTGAAGGGGGCAGGCAGAGGTGGCCTTGTCTCAAGGAAGTGGGAGTGGAGTTGTCTTCCTAGCTCCAGAGCAGTGGGCAGAGTAGACCTTTGGTTTGGGGAAGAGCTTTTTAATGGGGCTGCTCAAGAGGTAGGCACCCTCCTGGAGTGAAGAGACCTTTGTCTTTGGAGCTGCTGAGGCTGAGTGGGCTGAAAGGGAGGTCCGTACACAGGTAGGAGGCAGGTACATGACTCCTGGTCTTGACTAGTCTGTGGTTCTCTCGGTTGGCACCATAAGTGGCTCCTAACTCACCAAGACTGTCCTACAAGGTTACAAGATACAAGGTCAGCATACAAAAGTCAATTATATGTCTACATGCTAGCAACAAAACACCCAAAATTGAAGTCAAGAAAATTCCATCCACGGCTGGGTGTGGTGACTCACGCCTGTAATCCCAGCACTTTGGGAGGCTGCAGCAGGTGGATCACAAGGTCAGGAAATTGAGACCATCCTCGCCAACATGGTGAAACCCGTCTCTACTAAAAATACAAAAATTAGCTGGGCATGGTGATGCGTGCCTGTAATCCCAGCTACTCAAGAGGCTGAGGCAGGAGAATCACTTGAATCCAGGAGGCAGAGGTTGCAGTGAGCTCAAATCGTGCCATGACACTGAGTGACAGTGTGAGACTCCATTTCAAAAAAAAAAAAAAAAATCCATTCATGATAACATCCAATGAATAAAACGTTTAGAAATAACAAATGGAATGCAAGACTGTACGCTGAGAAAGTTTATTGCTGAGAGAAAATTAAAAAGATAAAAAGAGAGAGTGACATTCCATGTTCATTAATTGGAAGACTCAATATTGTAAAGAGGGTAATTCTTCTATAGATTCAACATAATCCCTATCAAAATTCCAGCTTTTTTTTGTTTGTTTGTTTTGAGAAAACAGCCGATCCTAAAACTTATGTGGAAATGCAAAGGACTGAGAGTAGCCAAAAACAATTCTGGTAAAGAACAAAGTTGGAAGGCTTGCCTTCCCAATTTCAAACCACAAAGCTATACTACTTAAGGCAGTTTTGTATTGGTGTATAGATCAATCAGTGGAGCAGAACGGGGAGTTCAGAAACTAACCTTCACATTTATGGTCAACTGACTGTGGACAGAGGCAAATCCAGCAAGAGGGAAGGGATCATTTTTCAACAGATGGTGCCGGGACAACAGGATATTCACATGCAAAAAAATGATGTTGGACCCTTCACATCATGCAAAAAAATGAACTCAAAATGGATCATAGAATCTAAGTGCTTAGACTCAGCTCAAACTGTAATGCTACTAGAAGAAAACAAGAGAAAAGCAGTGTGACCTTGGGTTAGGCAAAGATGTCTTACACGTGACATCAAAAGAAGGATCCATAAAAGAAAAAGCTGGCTGGGCGCAGCGGCTCACGCCTGTAATCCCAGCGCTTTGGGAGGCCGAGGTGGGCAGATCACAAGGTCAAGAGATGGAGACCATTCTGGCCAGTATGGTGAAATCCCGTCTTTACTAAAAATTCAAAAATTAGCTGAGTGTGGTGGCGCACACCTATAGTCCCAGCTACCCTGGTGGCTGAGGCAGGAGAATCTCTTTGAACTCAGGAGGTGGAGGTCGCAGTGAGCTGAGATACTGCACTCCAGTCTGGTGACAGAGTGAGACTTTGTCTCAAAAAAAAAGAAAAAAAAACTGATCAGTTGGACTTCCTTAGGATTAAAAACTACCCTTCAATAGAAGATACATGTTTAAGAAAAAGACAGACCATAGACTGAGAGAAACTATTTGTGAAGCATATATCAGATAAAGGACTTGTAACTAGAATATATAAATAATTCTTACAACACAAAAAGAAGACAGATAATCCAGTAAAAAGATGGGCAGGCCAGACATGGTGGCTCATGCTTGTAATCCCAGCACTTTGGGAGGCCAAGGTGGGAGGATCACTTGAGGCCAGGCATTTGAGACCAGTCTAGGCAATAAAACCTCATCTCTATTAAAAAAAAAAAAAATAGACAAAAGATTTGAGCAGACATTTCTCCAAGGAAACTATACAAACTGTACATCCAAGAAGACACAAGAAGATGTGCTACATCATTAGTCATCAGAAAAACACAGATAAAAACCACAGTAAGACACCACGTCAAACCTGCTAGTATGACTAATGAAAAAGACAGCTGACAAGGACTGTAATAAATAAGACGTGTCAGGATGTAGAGAAACTGGAACCCTTGTTCACTGCTGGAATCAAAATAGTGTGGCTGGCTGGGCCCGGTGACTCACACATACGATTCCAGCAATTTGGGAGGCTTAGATGGGAGATCACTTGAGGCCAGAAGGCTGAAGCCGCACGGAGCCACAGTTGTGCTACCGCCCTCCAGCCTGGGCGACAGAGTGAGGCCTTGTCTAAAAATCAATAAAACAGCCACTTTGGAAAACGAGGTTGGCAGTTTCTTAAAAAGTTAAACTTTTGTATGATCCTGCAATTCTACTCCCATGAAACAAGTGAAAACATAATTCTATATAAAACTTACAGGCAAATGTTTACTGCAGCCTTATTCATAGTAGCCAAAACTTGGAAATACCAAATGCCCATCAACTGGTGAATGGATAAATAAAATGCAGCCTGTCATATAAAATGGAATATTAATCAGCCATAAAAAGGAATGAAGTCCCGATGCTACAAGGACTTAAAAACATAATGCTAAGTGATTGTATGGATCAGTTTATATGAAAAGTCAAAAAGGCTGGGCGCAGTGGCTCACGCCTGTAATCCCTTTGGGAGGATTACAGCACTTTGGGAGGCTGAGGCAGGTGGATCACAAGGTCAGGAGTTCCAGACCAGCCTGGTCAACATGGTGAAACCCCACCTCTACTAAAAATACAAAAAGGTTAGCTGGGCGTAGTGGTGCATGCCTGTAATCCCAGCTACTCGGGAGGCTGAGGCAGGAGAATCACATGAACCCGGGAGGTGGAGGTTGCAGTGAGCTGAGATCACGACCCTGCACTTCAGCCTGGGTGACAGAGTGAGGCCCTGTCTCACAATCAGTCAGTCAATCAATGGCAAATGTGTAGAGGCAGAAAGTAGATTCGTGGTAGCCTGGGGCTGGAGTAGGGATCACTTCAGAGGAGGAGGAGGGGATTTTGGGGGAGAAAGAAATGTTCTGTACTGCATTGTGGCAGTGGCTGCATAGCTATGTCCGTTTAGTAAAAGTTATTGAATTGTTTAAAGTGGATGAATTTTTTGGTCTGTAAATTTTGCCTCAAAAAAAAAAGATATTCTTTTGCTTTTTCAAAAAAATAAAACTGTTCCTGCTGTGGGGGCTGGTACAAATCTCCGAAGCTTTTAGTTCTGGGCAGCTGCCCAGGCCTTGCCTCTTCTTTCCAGGAACTCAGAGACCGGCCCTGACTCCCCTTTCCACTGCTACCTCCGGCCAGGGTTTCTGCTTCACTCTGCCTGCTGTGGCGGTGAGCAGCCTGTCCCTTGTGCTGGGGTCTTCGCAGGCTTTACTGCTCAGGATGGGGAGAGCATCCCTGCCTTTGGGACCTGCTGCCTGCTCCCACAGACCCTCTCAGGCTGTCCTGAGGTTGACAAGGGGGGACATGAATGGAGGAGGCAGGGAGGATGGGAGTGCCAGGGTTCCCAGGTGGCCCTCTTAAACCAGACATATACAGGTCTATGCTAATAACCCCAGGAAGAACTGCAGATTCGGAGCCTTTTCCTCAGAATGCAGTGGAAGAATAGTGATTGTGTGTGTGCGTGCTGTGTGTGTGTCTGTGTTTTGGGGGGTGGGGGATAATGAGTGATCATCCACCACCTTTTGTCCTGTTTTATAACAAAGGAATAGAAGACACGTCTCCCTCCCTTCTTTCCCTCTAATGTAGAAATGGCTGCCTCTCTGTAGGTTTGCAGTCTACCCATCTGCATCCACAATGGGCCCAGGGCTGGGGGGCACAGGTGCAGCCTTGCCAGGACTGCAGCTCTAGGGGGCAGAGAGTCACAGGATTGTTCCCCTTCCCAGCTCCTTCCTGTCCAGCCCGTCTTGGGTCTGCTCCTCCCTGGCGCATCTTCTGCACCCCCTGGACTTTGTTTCCTCACTGTTGCCAAACCGATTTTCCTAGAACACAGAGCTAATCATGTCACCTGGCTGCTCAAAGTCCTCCAGTGCCTCCCTCCTGCCTGCAAGGTGATGGACAGGTCCCGGGGGTGCCACTTCTTCCTCCTGTCTTCTCCCTTTCAGTCCCACTACTCATGGCCTGGGGGTCCCTCAGCTCTGTCCGGGGCTTACTCAGTGAGGTTCGCCCATGGGGGCTCAGCCGAGCTCCCACAGGTTAGCTGGGTTGGGCGCTGTCTGTGTGCTTTTGGAGGAAGGAGAGTTGCCTTCCGGTACGGGGGCTTTATTAATGTCTGTTCCATTAGATGACTGTCAAGACCAGAGCATCAGCCGTTAGCCTCCAAGCCTTGAGTAAACCCACATACAAAGGAGCAGCCCAAAAGCTATGGAACGGACTTTTGCTGCCACACAGGTGTAAGTGCCATGACTGGAAGCACGAGTTCTGGAGCCCCTGAGCCTGGGCTAGAATCCTGGCCCCCCACCCATCAGCTTCACCTCCTGAAGCCCCAGTCAGCGTCTGTACATGGGGATGAGAAAAGCTCCAACGTTCAAGTGCGGTGGGGTTTAAAGCACAAATGTGACTGGCATGGGAACAGGAAGATCCTGGATTGGTTCTAGGGAAGGTGGTATTCAGTGAGTGCCAGGGAGGGGGCCACCCAAGTCCTCCAGGGTCTAAGGAGTGGGAGGAATGGGAGTCGAAGAGGTTTAAGTGGGAGGCGAAGAGGATGAGCCTCACCCATGGGCCTAATGCCTCCAAGAATGACATGGAGTTCTAAAAGTTGGCAGAAGGTGCTGTGCCACTGGGACCCTTCTCCTCCGCCCTGGCCTTCTCTTTAGCGAGGCACCAAGCCCTGCAAACACTGCCTCAACATGCTTCACACCTACCCACCCTCACCCTTCCAGGGACCTCCGCTCCTGCTCCCCAAGCCCTGGGCATCCTATCCCGCCTCCTCCACCACTGTGCACTTGCTGCACACGCATTCCCTCTAGAGCTGCTATTCGTGGGAGTCCCCAGTCCCAGCCACCCTTCCTGAGTCCAGGCTGAGCAGGCTCTCCTGGGTGCTCCCCTGCATCCTCAGGACACTTGTGTCACCCAAAGACACATTCATGTTGCATGTCTGTGTGTCTCCAATAGACATGAGACATTTCCAGGGCAGGACCAGGCTCCACTCAGAGTGCTGTCCCCAGCAGCTGCTTGGCCACGGAGACCGGGCTGGCACCTGGTCATCTACTCAGCGCTGTAGTCAGATTTCTAGACTGGCCCCAGTGATTCCCACCCTCATGCCTTGAGTATGCACTGGGCTTCAAGGTACAGATAACTTACTTTTTAGCAATAAAGTACAGCCAGGATAGTGAGATGTTCCTCCACAATGAGGTTCCAAAAGGGACTCTAGCAGACTCTTGCTGGCTTTGACAAAGCGAGCTGCCTTGTGATTGTGGCCAATGGCCAGTGAGGAGCTGAGGCTCCCAGCCCCACAGCCCTTGAGGAAACAGATTCTACCAGTGCCTGACTTGGTTTAGTGGTGGACCCTACCCACTGATGGCAGCCTGTGAGGGACCTGGAGCAGAGGACCCAGCCAGGCCATGCCCAGACTCTAGGGCAGGGAAGCCGTGAGATAGTAGCTGCATGCTGCTTTAGGCCCCTATGTTTTGGGGCGATTGGTGATGCAGCAATAGAAAACCAAGATACTCGGTGAGTGGCAGATTCCCAGCCTTAGCCACAGAGGGAGACTGACAGCCGCCTCTCATGCAGGCTGTGATGGGCATGAGCATGCCATACTAGACAGCCCTTCCCAGGGAAAGGCTGAAGAGTTGCTGGAATAGCCACACCACTGTGCTGCTGGGCCTCAAGGGGATATGGATGAGAAAGGGCAAGACTTTGGGGGGATATCTCCCAGATACTCACATTCTTCCCAGGCAGAGGGTCCCAGACCACCATTCAAAGACACTCTGCATCTTTCTGTCATATGTGTTCATGTGCCTGACCTTACTAGTCTCTGAGCCCTTCAAGGGCAAGAATTATTTTCTAGGACGTCAACAGGCACGTGTTGTTTGTGTTTAATGAATACCAGATGCTCGCGGATCACACTGGCTTCCTGGGTAGGAAGGTCAGCTGACCCAGATGAATGGGACAGGTTAAATATAGATGACCACTGCAATGAGCAGTAAGAGCAAATCCTTCTGTAAGATGAAGACTGAACACCTAAAATAGCCAATTAAGTCTTTCTGGTCGACCTGGCTCTTTCAGGAAGCCACAGGGCATATCAGATGCTAGGGATAATGGACCCGATTTTGATGGGGACATTGTTTTTTTGGAAACTTCCGAGATTTCTGTCTGACCTTCCTGGCACTGACAAGCAGTGAGCAGACTCCCCTTGCTCACATGGGAGTCATGTACAGGAGGGCAGAGAGCAGACCCCCCAGGAGGGGTGGGCATGGGGCCACCATTAAAGGGCAAACAGCACGGGGCAAAAGCCTCATGTGGTGCCCAGTGAACCACATCATACTGATCTATCTTGCTAATTGTGCCAAATGAAACATATTTAATTTGCAGATCATCACAAAAATGCCTACATAAATGTGGATATATAATATGCAACAAATGTACATATGCATATATAATATGGAATATATCTTTTTATTTTTTTCTACAGAAGCAACTCTCTTGTTTTCTATCAAAGATTCCTTGACATTATTCAGGAATATTAGGAAAATTTTGGCAGAAGTTGGTATACCATTTTTGGCTTTGTTTTTCTTTCTCTCCTGAAATCTCAGATTAGAGAAAGAGATTGTTACACCCTTGGTTTTAAGGTGTTGGGTTCATTTCCTGCCCCTGAAAATGTAGGCTCTACCTGTGCCTTTTCTGCTTTTCTCTGGGTTGTCACTAGAGGGCAGCATACGCCCGTGTTTACAAGTCAGAGCTGCCTGACTTACGGACAGAGAACTGAGGGCACGCGCTGCCTCCTTGTGCTTTAGGAGCAGAAAATTGTAATATCCACGGGATATCATTATTTTACTAGCAACAGGATCTAAAGAAGGTAGAAAGATTGCTATTCAGACCGACGTATTAGAAATGGCAAACTTCACTGAATTAAGGAATCCAAAATCAAATTGCTGTTAGCCATGTGAACGTGACCATCTCTCACTGCAACACCAGAGACCAGCTTCCCATTCCACCTCCTTTTATATTACTTAATGTATTTTAATTATGTTACGTGACTACGTTCCTGTGAAGTTGAGGATGAGCAAATATTTGTACTATTTTTTACAGAAATAAATGTAACTGCTGCAGATACCCAGCGAAGAAGAATAATAGGACGGTCCCAAGCTGAGCCAGGCCCTTTGCACGTGGTTTCTCTCCATTCTCCACCCCCGCCTAACAAGGTACCTTAATCAGTTTTGTTTTGAGACAAGGACACGAAAGCCAGCCAAGGGACCCACCTGAGGCCTCACAGGGAGGTGGCCTCAGGATCACGGGCAGCTTGTCCGGCTCCTTCTCAGGCTCTGGGCCGCATCCTCAGCACCATCCCCTCATCCTGCCCGGCTCCTCAGCGCTTGCACGTCACAGGCGCTACCGGCATGGGTTACCTGTTACCTTCCTGTCTGTCTCTCACTACTTGTTTTCAGATGTCAGACATTTTTAAAGAAGTTGAACAGACTCCAATGCTCCCTTAACCCCAGGCCATGCTGGCCCTTGGTGCCAATTCTGGAGGCAGCATTAGAGCAGAGGACAGATGTCAGGGAGGCGTCAGTCAGGGAGGGTCTCAGGGAGGCCCATCTGACTTATGACCTAGGAAGGGCTGGGGTCGCCGGAGTGGGCAGAGCAGGAGAGGGCAGGCAGGTGTCATGATCTCCAGCGCCTGCCTCCTCTCTCACCTGGACCCCTGCGCGAGGGCAAGGGAAGCCTCGCAGCCTACCTGCAGCACCCAGATGGACAGTGGATAGAAAAGATCAGCCCAGCACAGCCAGCAGCTGCTTCCAGATCCACCAAGGACCCCAGGCCACTTCCGCCCATGTCAAGCTGGGAGAGGCGCATGGTCAGATACATGGTTCCTCCTATCCCGCCTGCAAAGTCACCCAACTCCCAGTGTCTTCCAAGTGAATCTGATGAGCTGTGCACTGGCTGACAACACACCTGGCCTGGGCCTGAATGGGGAGCTAGTTCTCTGTCATTGTGAGGTCTGGACAGTATCTCACGAAACAATACTTTACTTGGCCTCTATTATTATCCTTGGGGCAACAGATTTCTGCAAGCCTTTGTTGCTTTTTGTTGTGGAACAAGTATGAAAAGTATGAAAGCATTTTTTGAAGTTTTTGCAGAAAATTTCATATCCTCGTATTGGCTTCTGGGCAGTCCATCCTGGCCCCTTACCCTTTGCTGCCAGAAGGCTTATCTGTAACATGGTGTCACAGGGAAAGGCTAGTTCTGTGCTAAGAAAGTTGGAGCTCATGGACCCCAGGCCATCCATCCCAGCTTCTCTTGAATTTCTCTCTGTCAAGTGGGGGGATGGGAGGGGAGTCCACTTCCATCCCAGGGCCTCCATGGGAACTGTTCCTGAGTACATTTACAAGAAAGGGCTGTGGCCTCCTGATGGCATGGGTGAGAAGGGCTCCCAGCGAGAAGAGGGATTTGTCAGGAATGCTAGACATTCTCCCAGCCTGGGCAGGGACCCCCTTTGGACTCAATTTCCTTTCATCCTCTGCAGGCACAAAAACATCACCAAGGGTCACATACTTTTTCTAGTTTGTCATCTTGGCAAGCTGAATCTGAGAAAGCGTTTGTTAAATTTCTATCCCCAAATCTTTCCTGGTTTGAATTAAAGAGGAAAAGGATACAGCATTTCCTGCAGTCTAGCTTGCCAAGCCAAATCTAACAGAGAATAATGAACCCTACCAACTGCCAGAGTTAAGAGGCACCCACCAGCCCCCCAAAAGATGCATAATCAGGCAAAGGCTGCAAGAGGCCAGCTGGAAACCACAATGTCTGACTGTGGCTTCTGCTCTATTGAGAGACTTGCCTTGGCTGTTATCTTTGATAAAGGAGGGACATTTAGGTAGGTGAAGGGAGGACAGGGAGTGAGCTGGCCGTCTGCCTGAGGTGTCTGGCAACTGCAAGCACTAAATAAGCTCCTGACTCATCTCTCCCCTGTGGCTTCTGCAGAAGGGAGAGACAGAAGTTACTTGGCACTTAATCATACAATACCTTGGCATTTCTGCCCAGGTACCCAGGTACCCATAGAGGCTAGGCCTCTATGATACAGATCCAAGAGAATGAATTAGAGTGCGGATGTGAAGGTGCTGGTGTCAGCATGGCTACTGGAAACGTGGGAAGGAAGAAAGTCCACAGACCTGCCTACTTGCTCCCCAAGCCTTCCCCCGCACCAGAGGGGCTGAGATGATTCGCCTCCACATAGCCTGCCTTGGAATGGAGTGGCCCCTACTGGATTTTGACAAGGGTGTGACCATGCGGGCTTAGTTCATGGCTGCGCTCCTGCTTCCTCTCCAGTTCTGTTCTAGGAAGGCACACGCATGAGGAAAGCTGACGGCACTCCTGTAAGAAGTGCAGTGTGGTATAACTCAGGCTCCTCAGTAAGTCACAAACGGTTTAGGAAAATGACTGCGGCTGAGTGATGCCCTTTTAGGGGAGGCATGCCTGTTTATTAGGCTGCAAGCATGGCAGCCGTCAATGGTGTGTAGCACCATGAACCATCACCCAGGGACAGAGATGGCGCCAGGAAGCTGCCGGCCTCACTTTCCGAGCTAAAACCAAAGCAGCTGAGTGCAGGTCAGTCACACTGTTGGGAAGGATGAAAGGTCCATGGACTCCACGAGGCTGGGACTGCGCTCTTGTGCTTTCTGGGCCTAGTTCTTGGCACACAATGGCTCTCCATCATGTTTCTTAAATGAGTCCATGACTCACTTGCTGGGCTTTCTTTCTTTGGGTTCATGACATCAACTTCCCAGGTCAGTAAAAAAATAAGGGTCTTTCTACTTTTTAAAACATTTTGAGATAGCTGAGCTGTGAAGTCTCTCAGCAGAGCTGGCAGCACAGGGTCTGGTGGAAGTGGGGACAAGTGCTCTGCTGAAGTCCCCCCTCTGGCCAGTCACTGACATGTTTTCTGGGCCCAGAGTAGCTCCCTGTCTCCCCTTCCTCCTGCTGCTTCCTGGACAGGACCCCAGGAGCAGGTTCTCTTCTGACTCTCGGGAGCCTCAGGGTTGGGTGCAACCAACACCTGAGCTGTGAACCACGAAGCCAACGTGCCCAGAGCCAGCAACGGAGCTGATGCTGGTTAATCCCACACCAGCCTGGAGCCAGGGACTCATCTTTGAGTCCTGAGAAGCTGGCATCCCCTGGGGTGTCTCCCATTACGTACCTTATCACTGTGGGGGTGATCTCCGCACAGAAGAACACGCTGAGGCTCCCCACTGCATGGGAGGCAAACATGCCCACGATGGAAAATGCGATGGAGAATTTGTCCTTGACGCTGTCACTCATCCCTGGCAGATCAGAAGAAGGGCATGGTGAGGGAAGAGAGGAAGCCAGGCCAGGGCAGGAGGGAGGCCCGGGGCTGCACGGCATGGCTCCTCCCCTCTGCCCAGCGTGCGGCAAGGATGGGTGTGCACTTCCCTCTGGGGACCAAGCAGCACCTCCAGGACTAGAAGCCCAGAGCCCCTGAAGTAGGTTCTGGGGCTCCTGTGAGTCCCTGTGTGTCAGGCATGCTGGAGCTCATGGCAGCCTCTACTGGAATTCCTCAGCCCAGAGCTATGCCTGGTGAAAGGGCAGGCTGGTATGTCCCCAGTGCCACACCAGCGTCCCTCTGCCCTGGCCTACGTTTGCTCCAGAAAGGGCCCTGCTCTCCACAGAGCCCCCACTGCCTCAGGTCTGATGTCCCAATGTGTGGGACAGGGTAGCTGAGTCAGTGTTGATTTAAGGACACAAACAATCAAGCCACAGAATTGATCGCCCCAGAGGGAAAGTGTTCAACCCATCAAAGCCCTCGGAAATGGCGCCAGAGACCGACCTCGCACCAGGGCAGTGTCTGGCACCGTGCATGGGCATGCTGTCAGGCCACACAGCTGGGGCTCAGCTCAGCTCCCACGGGGCTGCAAAGAGGGCAAGCGCTCCCCAGGGACACGGCGAGGGCTGGGGCAGGCCAGGCAGGTGCAGCAGCAGCTTCGAGGTGCAGGCCAGGACTCTGCTGTCCCCATGGCTGGAGGGCAGCAAGCTTACATGAGTCAAAGGGGGGCACTGGCTTCCCCTGGCAGCACAGACAGCCGGGCCCCAGCACTCCCGGGCACTCTCACCCCACCCAGATGCTGTCCACAAGACAAAGCATGTTGGTGCCAGGCCAGGGCCTGTGCCTGGTGTCAGGGGAAGGGGCGGGGCATGCGTGCCAAGCAGCACAGAAACAGGGAAGCACCGATCGCTCTTTCTAGAGGCAACAGGGAGAATACAAATGTATCCGTATAGTGTCCAACCTACGGCCAACTTCAGCTGCAGTTCTTGGAGGGCAAGGGGGAGAAAGAGAGGAAATGGAAACCACAGGTCCGTGAGTCTTCCAGAAAACGCCCATTTGGATGCAACACAAGATGCAGACGCATAGCCCATGCGCTTGGGACTCACCTGAGTCTGGGTGCTGGCTGTACTTTCCAATCACTGGGCCCGCCGACAGGATCACAGCCACACGCACAAGGGCAAAGCAAGCGGGAAGAGAGGAGAGAGCACGTTAGGGGTGGAGTTAGCTCAACGTGTTCCCACGTGTCTTGCTTCCAGAAAATTCCTGTCCATGTCTGGGATGGCGCTGGCTGCCAGGGCAGTGGAAGTCATACTGCACTAACACAGATCTTTTTGGTAAGAAGACAGGGGTTAGAACCGCTGGACTCAGAGCCTGGGGATGAAATGGAACTGTTACAGTGAGACCGTAGCAGGTGCAAAGGGTGAGCTTCCTCACATATAGAGCCACCCATGGGTCACTGTGGCCTGACTGAAGCAATGTCAAGTGCTGTGGGGAGTCCCTGCTGGCCCAGCTCTGCCCCTCATGGCTGGCCGCTTGGGGTTCCTGTGCATTCCTGTGCAGGGCAGAAGGGGCACTGCAACACCAGGGGGTGAGGCCCCTGCCACTTCCATCCCACCCGTGTGAGTGGGGCAGAGTATCCCCAGAAGGGCAGCTGGGGAACGGGGATGGAGGGAGACATCTACCACGTCTGCATTCCATTAGCTAAGCCTAATAGCAGTCTCCCGGCAAGGGACAGATTGCATAGGAACTGTCCAAGTTAGAAAGCTGCTCCTGAGATTGAAACAAGCCATCTCTAATCCAGGCTGCACGACAAGGCCGCTCTGATCAGGGTGCAGTGGACAGCCCTGGCGTCTAGTTCTGAGAGCCTGGGTTCATTTTCCTTATAAGGGCAGGGGAGCCCTGTGGGGTGGATGTTCCTGCAGGGTCCCAAGCCTGTCCCAGGAGGACCCTGCCAGGGCAGGAGAAGAGGCTCAGAGGTCCTGCCTGCTCATGTCACACCCTGGGCTGGCCACGGAGGTGCCGTGGGGTTTGTCCACACACAGGGGTGGGTATTTGTTGGTGAGGAGCTACACAGAGCTTGCCGGAGCGGCCTGATGGATTCTCTAGCTTTGCCTTAGATTATTTCTAACTTTTACTGAGAAATTCTTTGGTTCAAAGAGAAACTGATGAACCCGGGAACATCTGCTGAAAGCAGGGCCCCATGGGAGGGTGACAAAACAGATTATTTCCCCCTTAATGTCACGAAAAAGAAACAATCCTCTTTCTTCTTTGTCATGTGGTGAGTCACACAGAAGCAGTGTACCCTTTAGCAAAGTCCCGGCCACCAGACTCGGAAGGAATAATAGTGCAGCCTGGGCCAGGCAGGGGAGGAGGACAGCCCAGTGCCCTCTGAGGCGGGCTCCACAGACGCTCCCATGGAAGCTCTGTCCTCTCCAAAGCAGCTCCTTCCACCGACAGATTTTAGAGTGGCCACTGGTGTCCGACCCAGCCCTTTCAAACACCCTTGGGGGTTAGGCAGCTCCCCTCCCCACACCGGCCCGCCTCCCCAGCCCACTCACAGTTGAGGAGCCCGAGCTGCAGGAGCGAGGCCAGGGCGGTGAGGATCATGAAGAGCAGCAGCCCTCCCCGGCGCCCGAGGAACCGGACCACCAGGCACATGGCCAGGCAGGACACCAACGCGATGCTGGCCGTGGTATAGTAGTCGGCGTAGAAGTTCTCTAGCAGCGGCACCTTTACCTCATGGCCCATCATGCTCCTGGCGAAGCAGTGGTGGATCCCGTACCCTGTCAGCCTGCAGAGACAGTGAGGATGGCGGTGGGTGGGCTGCGCCATGCCAGGGCCTGCTCGCAGGGTCGGGTGACCAGGAGACGGAGAAGCAACTCAGTGTGTCATAGAAAAGCCCGTCATGACGGAACCATGAGCAGATGCAAAAGAGGAGACGTCAGAGAAAGATGGAATGCATCCCCTGGTGGAGGTCCACGCTCAGACTCCTTGCCGTGGCTTTAGTAGACAGGTGTGGGCACAAGAGCGGTGAGTTCTTTGGTTAAAACAACATGTGCTTTCATGGGAATCCTCCAAGACAAAGCGCTTTCTGGTTACTGACTCATCTAATCGGGGTCACACAGCAGACCCTGTACACCCCCACTGCACAGCGGCAGGCGGGGCAGAGCAGCTCTGGTGAGGCTCGCAGCAGGTAAGAGACAACTCAGAGACAGCCTCTCTGAGTCTATGCTTCTTTGGGCACTTAGAGTTCTGGAAAGGTGGAGATCTACCTATACCAGCCTCAACTCCACCCACACAGCCTGGAGGAACCAGGCAGAAGCCAGGCCACTGGAAGGTATGGTTCTCAGGAAACTCTGTCTTGATTTGTTTTTTGAGACAGCCTTGTTCTGTTACCCAAGCTGGAGTGCAGTGGTGTGATTTGGCTCACTGAGACCTCCCCTTCCCTGGTTCAAGTTATCCTTCCACTTCAGCCTCCCAAATAGCTGGGATTACAGGCACTTGCCACCATGCCCAGCTAATTTTTGAATTTTTTGGTAGAGATGGGGTTTCACCATGTTGGCCAGGCTGGTCTCGAACTCCTGACCTCATCAAGCAATCCACCTGCTTTGGGTTCCCAAAGTGCTGGGATTACAGGTATGAACCACCATGCCGGGCCTCTATTTTGATTCTTAATTTATCCCCGTTTCCTCCAGACTGCCCTGGGTCAAGCTTCTTTACTGCCCCACATGAGTGTATCAACCTGCTGGGAAATGTGTCTGCCCTGGAAAACAGGCACAAAGGCATGGCCGCGCCCTCTCAGGGAGGCTGCTGATGGCCATCTATGGGGTGCCTCAGGGCTCTCAGGAACCTCTGGGATGTGCCTGTGCGTGATGAACCTGTGCTGCTGAGAGGGTTCCTTGTTATGTCTGCTCTCGGCATCCATCCAAGAGCCAAAAACTCCCCTCCTCTCTCCCAGCCACCCTTTTGTGCTTCAGGGAAATCTAAGTACTTTTCATCCAACCTTGAGGATGCATCAAGGTCAACTGTAACAAACTCTGTCATAGGGGGAAGCCACCCAGTGCCATGTGGATGCCTTTCCACTCGGGAAATATGCAGAGGACCCAGCCCCCGGGCAGCAGCTTTATAATCCAGCAACTGATTTTGTTCACTGAGCCTCCAGAGTTCCTCTTCTGGCCTGCTGAGATCACAGGGCAATCTTCTACCTTCTTGTTCTGGTAGAAATGAAGCCTCCCCGACCACAACAGGTCACCTGAGATAACAGAGCCGGAGAGCTTGGTTTCCGTCCCCACGAAATGAATTGTTAAAATGGAAACTTGCCATCTTGTCTATGTCAAGTTTCGTTTTTTCCAACAACATAAAATTTGGAGAAACCATTCAACTCCTAATGCCACCAGCTCACATAGCATCTACCTGAGCCAGACAGCAGTGGGGTGGCCATGCCCAGTGCCAGTGCTGGGTGGAGGGGCTGAGGCTGGGGCCCAGGGCTTGGCCTGGTGTCACTGTGGCTGTGGCAGGTCTCTTGCCTCGGCCTCCTGAGCTCCAGGACAAGGCTCTACTGTTGCTTTGGCGGTAGAGCCTCTTGTACCCCTCCCAAATCAATTTCAACCCAAAGCCCCAATATGGAGAACTGAAGAAATGAGCTGCTTTGACAGAAAAAGCTGTGGGGATACTTGTCCCTGAGCCCTCACCCTGGGCCTCTGTCTTCCTTGCCTGGTGACAGCCCTGAGACCTTTCAAAAATGAGTGTAACACCCCAGATGACCTCTAACCCAAATGAGTCAAATCCCTCCCCTGCCCAACCTTAGTGACCTCTGACCCTGAACAAGGGACCACATTGCCCAGTCGAGGCCACTGAGCTGTCAGTCAGGACAGGAGTGATCTTCTAGGTACACACCAAACCCAGGGACTGGGCTGCCAAGAATCTTCGTGAGTGATGCCCCTGCCCCTGCAGGACCCAGCAGGTGGGGTGAGACTTGTCCTCTGTGACTCATGAGTTCACACATAGGACCATGATATTCTTCCACAGGTTCCATGTCCCCACCCACCTGCCGCCACCCGTGGCTGCCCTGGGGCCTCTGGCCAGGCTGGCTGTGGGTCCAGGAAGAGCAGGGCCAGCTACAGGCAGGGGGCATGGATGCCTTGCAGCCAAGGCCTCATCGGTCTCGAATCCCCTGTCCTGAGGCAGGGCTAAGAAGCTCCAGCCTTGCAGCATCCCCCACCGTGCCCCTGAGGAAGTGCATTCATGTGCATCCTGGTTTCCTGGGCCTCATGGGCATGGGAGAGGCCCTGCTCACAGGATTTACATGCCTGGGCTGGGGGTGCTGGCTGCTCGAGGCTTCCGGGAGGGGGAAGTCGATACCTTCTAGCCCGCCCATGTCACTCTTCACACATAGCCTTAGGATTCCAGGTTCAGCAGGGTAGGGCCCTGGTCTTCACCGATGCCCGCCTTCTTCCCCGGCCCCCTCCCACCCAGCTGGCACTTGTCCTCTGTGACTCACGAGTTCACACACAGGACCACGATGTTCTTCCACAGATTCCGTGTCCCCACCACCTTCACGATGCAGACCTTCTTGGGCCTCCGGGAAAGCTCCTTCTCCAGCTCTGCAAAGAGACAGACCCTGTGAACCCTCGGCAGGCACCCACAGAGGACTGGGGCAGCCAGCACAGCCCTGGCTCCCCAGTTCAGCTCCACAGAAGGGAAAGAAAGCCTTTTTCTTTTCTTTTAAGCCAGCAGATAGGGTCTAGGTTTCAGGATAGAAAGGCTGGAAACCTAGACCCGCCTCCAGCTTTGCAGTTCAGGTTTCCCTAGGGTGCCTGAGAGGGCGCCAGGTGCACCGTCAGCACGTTTCCACTGCAAAGCCTTTTTTTGGAACCAGGCAGAGTACACACAAATAAACACACAGCATAGACTCGGTTCACTTTTGTCTGAGTACAGAGCTCAGGGATGATATTCCAGGCGACCGAGCCACTCTTTAGGCCCTGGGCAAATCTAAACGAGCAGTTCTGTTCCGTACGGTCTGCATCCACTGTTGTCACCTCCGGCTCCGAGACTGGGAAGGCCACACCCAGATACACTCCTAAGCCTTGTGGGGTGAACTTACCACAGCTGTAGCTACTTCTGCAGAAACTGCCCTTAGGGCGTATGAATCTTTGAAAGACAAAACATAAGTGAATCCATCTGCGTGTATGTGTCCATATGCGTACATGCACACATTCATACGCATATGTACACGTGTGCACATTTTAGTTAACAGAAATCCTTGGGAGCTGGACAAGTTTGCTTTCAAGGGATGTGACTAACTATAAAGTCGTGAGACTGAGTTTCTTGTGCGGCTCCTGCCACGCTGAAAGCCCCTCTAAAGGGAGTCTGCCAGCCCTGTGTTATATTCACCAGGCCAATGGGCCTGTGGAGGTGCTGGGGTCCATTTGGCAATTTACAGGGAAGATTCAGACTGGAGGTGCCCTGGCCTCCAGGAGCTGTCTGCCTGTGCATCAGGGAGCAGGAATGCCACTCAGCCTTCTGTCACCTCTCTGCCCTCCTAGCCTGCTATGTCTTCGTGGAATAATCCCTTTCTGGGGAGCTTAAAAAAAGACTTCCCGAATCAGAGGGGAACTAGGACTCTTCAAGACCGTCAAGGTCATGAGACACAAGACCGAGCAGCTGTCAGACCAGGAGACTAAGGAGGGAGGAGGACGAGATGCAGTCCTGGGCGGCACCAAATAAAGGCTGGAGTTTGGTGAATAGTAGTGTTCCAATGTCACTTTCTTAGTTTTGACAATAGTATCATGACAATATCAGATATTTGTAGTTGGGGAAGCAAGTGGGAGTATATGGAGATTCTGTAGTATCTCAGCAGCTTTCCTGTATATCTAAAATTATCCAGAAATAATACATTTATAAAATAAAAAAAAGCGGGGGGAGGGGAGGCCTCTGTCTACCGAGGAAGGCTTCAGTGCTGGGAGGAGTGTTGTTGCCTCTGGAGGGACCCTCCTATTCCCTCAGGGGCTGCGTCTCCAGGACCCCGGTCTTGTGCTTCTAAGGGCCACTCTGAACCCTGGATGACCCAAATTCAGTCCTCCTCTTCCACCTCCTTCCTGCCATCCAGTGGCTGGAGGGTTACAAAGCTCCTTCATTACAGTTTGAAGAAAACGTGTTGCTTAACTGTAGGGATTTAACTTTTTATTCAAACACATTGTTTTTGAACTCAGTGCCACCAGCCAGGGCACAGAAGGGAGAAGGAGAAGCCTTTTTCTTGTCTAAGGGATATCAAGCCTCCTGAATTTCCAGAACTTTCTTCCTTCCCATACAAGGTTGAAGTCTGTGTGCAAGCCAGCGCATTTCAGCTGCCAGCCCATGGGTCCTCTCAGCTCCCAAGGTCTCCTGACCATTATTTTTCCTCAGCAAAAATGGACCACTTTGACTACAGGAACAGTTACTCTATGCAGAGAGCTTGAAAATAATCACGGTTAACAGAAAACCTTGGATCCAATGATCTGAGGATCTTTGCTATTAGAAAACTCACCAGAAACCAACTGTAATAGCTACATTTTCTCACCATGGAAGACTGAAGAGAATTTAAATGTCCATTAGCATATTCATATAAGTTTACAGTTTTAAAAAAAATACCCCCAAATGAACTCCTAATATGTTATTGTTTATGAAGTATGATGTTAAGGAAGCAAATACAGGCCAGGCCTGGCGGTCACACCTGTAATCCCAGCACTTTGGGAGGCCGAGGCAGGCGGGTCACGAAGTCAGGCGTTTGAGACCAGCCTGACCAACATGGTGAAACCTTGTTTCTACTAAAAATACAAAAAGTACCCAGGATGATGGTGTGCACCTACAATCCCAGCTACTCAGTAAGCTGAGGCAGGAGAATCACTTGAATCCAGGAGATGGAGGTTGCAGTGAGCCGAGATCATGCCACTGCACTCTAGCCTGGGTGACAGAGCAAGACTCCATCTCAACAACAACAAAAAGGAGCAAATACAATTGCATTATGACCTGAGCTTTTTAAATAAAATTAAACCTAGAACCCAGCATGAAAAACTGACTGTAGTCTGCAGAGGTAACTGCATTCTTCTAAGTGGAATTAGATTAACCTTTCCAGGGCTATTGATACGTTGTCAGGGTGTCTATTACTCACACCACCAGCCTTGTTACTCACAACACCACCACGAAACTTCCACAGCACTAAGTCTATTCTTCTGGGCCCAAATCTACAAGCTCTGTTATAGAACATTTAGATGGCTCTAACACCCTCAGTGGTAGCTGAATCCAAGAGGCCTTTTGTCTGTCCAGGTATCAGATGGACATCTAGAGACTTCTCTAAACTCCTCTGCACGGAAATGAATGGGCAACAGGGAGCCGAGCCAGGTTGTGTGACACTAGCCTCCAGGACATGCTGCTGTGAGCACCTGGCTCTCACGGTCCCCCTGAGACAAAGGAGGAGGACGACACATCAGCCTGCTTGACTAGAGCCATCAGAAAATTTCCAACCAAAAACCATGTCAAGCCTACTGATTGATGATCCAGGTACGTCCAACTCCATCCTGCAGCCCCTGTGCCTCTGCATTTTCACCAGGTCGGGGCCGAGGTCTGGGTGCTGTGAGGAGCCTGATGAGCTTGGGCAGAAGCCCAGCTTCTGCACTTCTGGCTGGCTCATTGGAAGAGCTACACTGTCCTTGCTCTTAGCCCAGCTGCTCATCTGTGAAGGAGGATAAAGCGCTTGAAGGCCAGATGGGAGAACTCCTCAGGGAGCACGTGTCCTCCCACCCGTGCTCAGCAAAGCCAACATCTCCCAGCTTCCCTTCACCAACAGAGCAAGGGAAAGGATGCCCTGCTGACCCTGCTGATCCACTGGAAGGAGGGCGTGACCTCTCCACATCTGGCCATCCAGTGTGAGAGTTAACAGGCTTCCTGCAGACAGCAGAGAAGGAGGAGGCAGTGGCTGCTCACCCAAGACCAGGTTCGGGAGGAGCAGGGAAAACACACAGAGGACTGGAATTTGCTTGTGTGGGGTGTGAGATAAACTGGCTTTACTGTTGTCCTAGTGGACGACGCTAGTGCATTAGGAGTGAAATTGGAAAAATACCAATTATAGAGCTAGAAAGCAAGAAAATAAAAAAGAAGGGGTAAAGGAGCAGGAGGAGGAGAAAAAAAGAGGAGGGGAGGAAGGGAAGCTGCCACTTCTGCCACAAGAGTCATTAAAAATGCACACTGGCGCACGCCTGTAATCCCAGCACTTTGGGAGGCTGGGGTGGGTGGATCACGAGGACAAGAGGTAGAGACCATCCTGGCCAACATGGTGAAACGCCGTCTCTACTAAAAATACAAAATTAGCTGGGTGTGGTGGCACGTGGCTTTAGTCCCAGCTACTCAGGAGGCTGAGGCAAAAGAACTGCTTGAACCTGACAGGCAGAGGTTGCAGTAAGCAGAGATGGTGCCACTGCACTCCACCTGGCAACAGAGGGAGACTACATCTCAGAAAAAACAAAACAAACAAACAAAACTGTACACTAAATGCTCCAAGGAGGCAGCCCTGAGCCTCACACCCGTGTTGGGAAGTAGAAAAAGCACCTGCTGCCTTTCCCACCAGCCCCTCTCCCCTCCGGGATGGATTTAGAATGGGTCCACTCAGCCACTGGAATAAATGCTTTGAAAGCAAGCGTAGATAAGCATCCATAGGAATCTTATCATGAAATCACCTTAGACAGCACAATCTTCAATGTCTAGCCAAGCTTTCAACAACTGACCTGGCACCGCGACCTCTCTCATCTCTGTCCTTTTCTGCCCAGGCACAGGCTCCACCTCACCCGAGCCTAATGAGTGAGCCACAGGCTCACTTATTTCGGAGCGGCAGGGAGCCAGGACCCCATGCAGCCTGCCTGAGGGCAGATGTCACTTTTATCACTTACTGGTGGTGTGACATGCGCAAGGTACCTAGTGTGGAACGTGGAGGTGGCCTGACACATCCACCCTCTTGTCATCCCAGGATCTGAACACATTGTTAAGACAGAGTGAGGCAGGTCAGGACAAAACCCAAGCTCTGTCATTGCTAAGGGAAGGGGGGAGTCCCACACTGGGCAAAGATGAGGACGCTCAGATCACAGACTCACCCATGTGCCCTGGCCATGCTAGGCAGATTGGCTTCTCTGGCATAAGGTGTGGGGCTGCCAGGAGAGGACTGACGCTGAGCATGGAGGATGCCTGCGCCCTGTACGTTCCTCCCCACAAGGAGAGAAGACAGGAGCGCATTTGCTCTCCCTCCCCTGACGCTAGAGGATCATGGAGTTCCTGTTCTCCAGCACTCAGCCTCTTTGTGCCCGTTCTGCTCCTGTCAAGTAGGGAGAACAGCTCCTTTCCCTCCTGAAGCTCAGATGCAGATGAGATGTGTGTGAAGCATTCCCCATCAACCACCGTACCTGGCAGTCACTGTCCAGTGACTTTTTGCTTATCTTACTATCTGCTGAGCATTCTACATTAGAAGATCTGAAAACTGAAATGTTCCAAAATTGCGTATTGTTTGAGCGTGCACATGATTCTCAAAGGAAATGCTCTTTGGAACATGTAGATTTAGGATTTTTGGATTTGGAAAGCTCAACTAGTAAGTCTAATACAAATATCCCCAAATCCCGAAACATCCGATCCCCGAAACACTTCTGGTCCCAAGCATTCTGGATGAGGGATGCTCAGCCTGCAGGACTGAAGGCACAGCCTTGTGTGTGGCACTCATCCTGGGTCTCATTTTTGCATTAGGCTGCTGGCCATGTGGCCACATTAGAAACCAGCGGGCCTTCTGCTCCTGCTATAAATGCTCGAAGCCTCAGGATTACGAGATGGGAGCGTTGTTAGCACTTGGGCACGTGATGTGATATGAAGGCTGCAGGACTGACACTGAGAGAATGATACCCAGGAACACACCCTCATATCTGAACTAAGTCAGCAGCCAGGCCACTGAGAACACCCAATTTGCTAGAAGATAAACCAAGGATAGCTTTACCAGAGAAAAGGAAATAAGAAATCTGGGAACATCAGGTTTCCTCCTGGCATAAATCCAAGGTTAGGGTGACCGACAGGGCAAGGGGCAGCCCTGCTGGACCCCACACATACTCCAGCCAGGCCCAAGATGTTCATCTACCCAGAGGCGATGCAACCTGCAATCCTAACCCTTCCTTCCTACAGGAGCCCTGGGTTTGTTTAGCCCATAAATATTCACGGCACGCCTGCTATGCGTCAGGCTTTCATCTGGGCTGCTGCTGGGGGCACAGAAGTGTCTGGCTCTACAGACAGGGGCCCTGTCTTGTCTGGTCTCGCAGCTCGGCAGGGGTGACAGGCACTAATAAGGAACCCTGCAATTATTTGTCATAGCTGGGATGAGGGGAAGCAGGGAGAAGGGCTGAAGCTATAATCGTGAATAACTGGAGGGCTGACTTGATCTCTGAGGAGCTGGCCAAGGCAAGAGTGGGAGAGAGGACAGGGAGTATGCACGGGGAGGGCCCTGTGCAGAAGAAGACGGTGCATCCTGGGAGCCAAGTGAAGGCCAGGGTGTGGGGCGCAGGAAGGCCGAGATCAGAGAGGGCCTCTGCGGTGGCTTGGGGGACCTGGGGTCTGCCTGAAAGGCACTGGGAAGCACTGGAGAGGCTTGAAGCCGGTGGTGATGTGATCAGATCATGTGTGACCTGGTGGCAGGGAGGACGGAATAAAGCTGGGAGCCCAGCCAGCCAGCCAGGGCGCAAGAGGGTGACAGACATGAGGCTCAGAGCGGGTGCTGGCTGTGGGATTAGACAGGGTCATGGGAGGAAGAGTCCATGCAGAAAACCCAGTCTGGGCAGAGGAAGCTGGAAGTGGCAAATGTAGCCTCTGAAGGCACGTTGCCTTCTCCGGCACTCAGCACACCTGACAGCTGGGGTGGCAGAGCACAGAGGCCATTGTGAAGGGCTGCTGGGCAGAGCGAGTGCCTGAGGACTGCTCCCCATGGAGGTGAAGGTGAAGCCTCTCTCCTCTTTGTTAAGTCCCGTGTCACCAACTACCTCTCACCCAGCCTCCTGCCTGGGACACTGGAACGGAAATAAGCACCAGCAAAACTCATAAGCAAAGAAATAAATTTTTAAAAAGGATTTAATACCACTTTCCAAATATAGGAGGGAAATGAATCAGTGTAATTAGGATTGAGAAACAAGCTACTCCCAGACAATATTTTAACGTGAAAGAAATGGAGTGTGATGACTTAATTAGGGAAATACCACAAACAAATTGTCCTGTAAGCCTAAGAGCATTAACCTGCTAATGAGTGAGGTCTGGAGAAGTCTGTGGAAGCCATCTGGACCATCCAAAACGAGCAAGCACAGCCCCGCTGGAGAAACCTCGACTGAGACTCACTGCTCCAGGCAGGGAAGTTTGCATCTCCCCGGAGCTCTCCCTCATGTTAGAGCAGCATGGCAAAGCCACCCCTGCTGGACTCTGCGGGTCAAGTCCTAGCTCAACTGCTTAGCAGCTGTGTGACCTGTGGAAGCTACTTAGCCTCTCTGTGCTTCTGTTTCCGCAGCAGCAAATTGGGCTAATTATAGTGCCTCTCTCATAGGCTGTCATGGAGAAATAATACAAGTAAAGCACTTAGGACTAAATATTAAATATGAGTTAATATTTGCACATTCTTTAGAAAAGTAACTGACATGTAAGTGCCATGTGAGTGTCATCTTGTTTCTTGTCATTGTCCCTGGATAAGAAGGGACGACGGACGCACACACCTGCACTCAGCACTCTTCACGTCAACCAGACCTGGCTCACGGCCTTCTTTGGTCCAGCCAAGCAAAAGCTTCGAGCGTCCCTGGGTAGGCCCCACCCCACCTAGTATATGGTCCAGCCTGGCTCTCCTGACTCTCAGGGCACTGCACAAGTTGGGGCAGAGGATGACATCCTGGCTGAGCTATGGAAGCACCGAGGAGCTTCTAGTGACATAGTGTCCCCGATCTTCTGAACTGGGAGTCTCACGAGAGGCCTGTCCAGGTACCAACGGCTTCTCTGATTCAGGGTTCCCGTGCATCCCTTCCCATCATAAATGGATACCTGCAGGGCACATTCTCCCACCTCACTCAGGCCTCTGCTCACCTGTGCCCTGGGAGCGAGGCTTCCGCAGCCACTCTGACTGCAGTCACCTTCCATCCCTCAGCCCTCCTGATGTACGCACGCCTAACTTCCCTGTCTGTGCGCCCCACCTGCCTGCAAGCTCCGTGAGAGCAAGGCTTTGCCCCTGTCTTCTCTGCTCTAGAACAGCGCCTGAAACACAGCAGGCATTTAGTAAACACCTGCTGGTTTAATGAATGACTCATCAACACAAGCATTTCTGGTTATGGGGGAAAATGGGCATATTCTCTCTTGGACAATGGCCTGGATGTTATTTTCCCAGGGAATTTTATAACAATAATCTACCCCAGGTCTTCGGTTAGGGCAGTGAGTCAGAGCTTGGGATGAGCCCCCCCAGTGATTTTCAGAGGGAGCTCTGTATACCACTTGCATCAAAATCTCTTCTAGTGCTTATTCAAAACGCCAAGTTCTTAGGGCTTATCCCAAATCTAGTGGGTCAGAATCTATGAGTGTCACGAGAGGCCCAGGAATCTGGAGTTTAACAACCTCCTGGTGATACGTGTGGATGTCCAGGTTGAGAACCCCACCTAGCTGTGTTAAAGCTCCCAACACACACAAATTCTATGGTTCTGAATAACTGTCCAAAAACGCTTCGCCTTCCCGCCTTCAGCTGCCCAACAAATAGGTCATGGCCAGGTAAAGGCAATGGTGGCTCTCTGAAGATCATGCTTAGCAAAGGTGAGGTCATGAGGGCCATCTACGCCCTGAGCCAGCGCTCTGGCCATGTTTAAACCTGGCAGGCAGGCGGGCTATGGGCCAGATAGCCAGATCTTCCCTTGAGCAGTGTATGTTGGGCTCAGGGCACACTTCTGGATTCAGGCAGGAGGTGAGGAGAACCAGAGTGTGCTGGACTTGATCGTGAAAGAAACCAACGCCTAGAAAGTGAGGAGAATGTCGAGGCTGCTAATTGCCCTTGTGCAGGCCAAAAGGTCACAGGAGAATTGTACAGCTGGTTAAAACAGCTGTTGGTGCCACAAAACCAGCCCAGGTATCAGGGACCTGCCCCATGGAGCCTCTTTGAGCCTTGGCCAGCCCGTGGTGTGCTCACCTGGCATCACGCCCTTGATGTCGCTCTCAGGGCTCACGCAGTTCTTCTGTGTCAAGTGGAGGATCAGCCTCTTGGCAGATTCAAACTGCTGGGTAGCCATTAGCCACCGGAGGGACTCAGGGAATATCCTTTAAAGACACAAAGGGAATGGGTGAATGTCTTCCAATTCTGCACAGCACTGGGAAGCGTGGCTTAGGTGTGGCCCGGGAGCTTCCCAGGCAGGTCGCGGTCAGTCTCCAGACACGCATCAGCCCAATCAGGGGAAATAAAACTGTGGGCACTGAAACAGTCCCAATGTTCTTTTCCAAAGTGTAAAAATCGAGACCTTAAAAATGCTTAACCAAAGTTAAAAACCACGCGTTCTCACCCACATATGGAAGCTAAAAAAAAGTGATTTCATAGAAGTAAGAAGTAGAACAGAGGACATTAGAGGCTGGAAGGGTGGGGGAAAGCTGGGGATAGGGAGAGGTTGGTGGAAGGATACAAAATTATAGCTAGGTACAAGGAGCAAGTTCAAGTGTTCCATGCCACTGTAGGATGACCATCGCTACTAATAATGTAGAGTTTTACATCACTAGGAGGAGGAAGTTAAATATTCCCAACACAAAAAAGTGATATTTGAGATGATGTGCATGCTAATTACCCTGATCTGATGATTTTACATGTATTGCACCATCACTGTGTACCCTATAAATATGTAGAATTACTATGTGTCAATTAAAAAATAAAAAATAATTTAAAAGTATAACAGAGTAGCAGATAAGAACAAAATTCTACCAGCTATGTCAAGAAATCAGTATATGCCTTTCAAAGTAACCATGATTTCTTTTTTTTTTTTTTTGAGACAGTGTCTCACTCTGTCACCAGGCTGGAGTGCAGTGGCGCAATCTTGGGTTAAAGTGATTCTTGTGCCTCAGCCTCCCGAGTAGCTAGGTCTACAGGTCCACACCACCACACCCAGCTAATTTTTCTGTTTTTAGTAGAGATGGGATTTCACCACGTTGGTCAGGATAGTCTCGATCTCACCTCGTGATCCACCCGCCTTGGCCTCCCAAAGTGCTGGGATTATAGGCGTAAGCCACTGTGCCCAGCCATAACCATGGATTTCTAAAACATGCAGAAACAATTCATGGAAGGCTGGCGATTTTTTTGTATTTTATCACAATAAATAGTAATAGAATAATTTTACATTTAAAAAGTCACTTCCCAATGCGACCAACCTACAGTTATTTTCAGTTTTGGAACACAAAAGCTCACTCTCCGGGGTTTCCTTCAGAGCTCTTTCCCTTTTGCTGCTAACTGCACGCCACTTGTCCCTCAGACATGCCACAACACAGTGGTTTTGAGTTTTACCAAAGCAACAACATCTATTTTTTTTAAAAGATGGAATCTTGTGAGGAGCTCCAATACAAAAAAAAAAAGCTAGTGTTTTCTTATCAATTTTATAAATTTACGCTTATGACATGACAATACTTCCAAGCCCCTCAAAGAGAACACCGTGACTGCGCAGAGCAGGAGTTCCATCTCTGCAAAAGTCCAAGTCATCAAAGCCTGAGAGTGGATGTATGGGAGTGGGTGTGGCTATGGGCTAATAATACTTTACTGCAAAGCAGAAAGCTGACTCCCGACTGTTTGGGAGACAAAAAGTAGAAATCAAATCTCAGGATGACAGCCCTAGCCTCTTGTAGCCCTCAGCGTTCTAGGTATCACTCCACTTTATTTTAGTTAAATCCTTTCAAGAAAGTCAGGGCTGATGCTGGTAAGAAGTTATTATAGCTACCTAACACCTGCTTTGCAAGCTTGGGAGAGTTTTTAAATGACTCTAGCAGCTGGAAAAAGTATTAGTGGGGTTTCCCTCACGCCAGGCCAGATTCATTATGTTGGAGACTAAACCCCAGTGTGATAGTAGCAAGAGAAAGGGCCTTTAGGGATGATCAAGTCATGAGAACAGGAGGCTGAAGAGCGGTGCCTTGCCCCTTCCCGCATGTGAAGACATGGAAGCCTCCCTCTATGAACAACACACGCTTGCCGGACACAGAATCTGCGGGTGCCTTAATCCTGGACATCTCAGCCTCCAGAACGATGAGCGATACATTTCTGTGCTTTACAAAGCCTCCAGACTAAGGTATTTTGTTGCAGCAGCAGGAAGAGACTGTGAGAAGTAGAATTTTTTTTTCAAACTCACATCACTACTGATATCTAATAACTACTGCCTCCTCCTTACTTATTTGAAGAGAGTTCACATTTCTATTTGTTTGTAACTGTGCTTTACATAAAGAGCTGGTTCCCACTGAATTTAGTGGTACCTTTGGGATGGTCTGATCTCACTCACTCTGGGAGACACGAGAAACTTCTTGAAGAGCTAAAAGCTGTCCTGCTGAGCAGGTGTGTGGAAAGCAGGAGGCCTTTGCGGCAGGGACAGGGGGTCTCCAGTCATCTCACATGGAAGTCCCAAATGCGAATGTAGGCATTGATTTTTTTTTTAAATAATCAAAGTTAATGTTTGTTTTACTGGCCTCTAGCTATAACAAATTAATTGTGAATAACATAATCCAAGCAAATAGAAACGCTCAGATACATGACATTCATATTATATAGTATTCACATTTTGCTGTATTTTAAAAATCAGATCTTTTCTTTATAATAAAATAACCAAATACAAATGCTGACCCCTTGTAATTTAAGTTCTGATCTATAAAATTTCCATCTTTCTGATGCATTTGGGTTTAGTATCTTTTTCTGATTTCTCAGGACAGACATAGAGGTCATTATTAATTTTTCTCATGTATATTTAAGACTTTGAAATTTCATCTAAGTATTATCACTTGAGATACATTTGTGATTTGATTCTAAATATTTTGTGATTTCCATAATTTTTGCTTATCTCAGAAACAATATATGAATACATATAAATATGTTAAGATGACAGCACAAGTGATTTTGCAGATGGACTCTACAGTTTTAAAATGTGGCATACAACATGGAAATTTGTGTCCTTTCAAAATAATTAAAATTTATTTATATCAAATGCTTATGGAACTAACTCCACGTCAGGAAATGGATTTTGAAAATCAAGACCGTAAATGAAGAACAAGGCCCAGATGACACGGCAGTGGAGGAGCTGTGCCATACCTTCTAACCCCTAGGGCCAGACCCCCAAGGGCCACTGCCCAGGGCTGAAGGCACAGGTGGAATGAACAAGCGGGGAAGAGCCTCCACAAGAGGACGTAACTTTTTCATTGCCCCCAGCAATCTCAAGTCCTCTTCTTTGATGTATCCTCAATTGTTACCTAAAAGGCGGGGAGAACCGTGGAGATGTGCTCACTATACAGTTTTGAAGCCAGGATGGGAGGTGAGTGACAGCTCAGGGAAAATCCAAACTGAGGCATGTCTGAGTATGGACATTTGAGTGGTGTCATTTTGCCTTCAAGATAAGGCCCCTGTCAAATGAGTTAGGAAGAATTCCTTTTGTTTCATTTTTCTTTTGGAATAGTTTGAAAAGAGCTGGTATTAAATTTTTAAGGGTTCATTAGAATTCAGCAGTGATGCCCTCTGGTCCTGGATTTTTGTTTTTTGGAAGACTTTTTATGACTAATTCAATCTCATTACTGGTTATTGGTCTGTTTAGCCTTTCTATTTCTTCTTGGTTCAGTCATGATGGGCTGTATGTGTCAGGAATTTACCCATTTCCTTTAGGTTTTTGAATTTATCGGCGTATAGGTAATCATAGCAGTCTCTGATGATTCTTTGTATTTCTGTGGTATCTTTTGTGATGTCTTTTTTTTTGCTGTTGTTTCTATTTATTTGGGTCTTCTCTTTTTCTTAGTCTACCTAATGATTTATGCATTTTTAAAATCTTTTCAAAAAAAGCAACTTTTTGTTTCATCGATCTTCTCTATGGCTTTGCTAGTCTCAATGTCATTTATGCCTGCTCTGACCTTTATCATTTCTTCCCTTCTACGGCTTTTGAGATTAGCTTGTTCTTGCTTTTCTAGTACCTTGAGATACATCATTGGGTTGTTTATATGAAATCTCCCTGGTTTTTTGGTGTAGGCATTTGTTGCTATAAACCTACCTGTTAATGCTGCTTTTGCTGTGTCTCATAGGTTTTAGCATATTGTGTTTCTGTTTTCATTTGTATCAAGACATTTTTTAGTTTCCTTCTTAAGTTCTTCCTTGACTTATTGGTTGACTTATTCATCACTATGTCACTCAATTCCCAAGCATTTGTACGGTTTTGAATGTTCCTCTTGTTACCTTATTTCTAGTTTTATTCCATTATGGTCAGATAGGCTACTTGGTATGATTTTGATTTTTAAAATTTTTTTGAGACTTGTTTTGTGTTGTAACATATAGCTTAATCCTGGAGAAACTAAAACTTTCTGCATAGCAAAGGAAACAATCAACAGACAGAAAAGACAACCTACAGAATGAGAGAAAATATGTGTAAACTATTCATCTGACAGGGGATTGATATTTAGAATATATAAGGAATTCAAATACCTCAAAAACAAAAAAAGAAATCTGATTTTCAAAATGGACAAATAATCTGAATAGACATTTCTCAAAAGGCACAAATGGCCAAAAAATACATATAAAAAATGCTCAACATCACTACTCATCAGGGGAATGCAAATCAAAACCACAATGAGGTATTTATTGATTCACCCCAGTTAGGATGGCTATTATCAAAAAGACAGAAACAGATGCTGGCAAGGATGTGGAGAAAGGGAGCTCTTATATGATGTTGGTAGGAATGTAAACTAGTACAGTCACTATGGAGAATAGTAGTAGAGAGGTTCCTCAAAAAACTACAAACAGAACTACCACATGACCCAGCAATCCCACTACTGGAATTCATCCAAAGGAAAGGAAATCAGTCAAAGACACATCTGCACTCTGAATTTACGACAGCATTATCTGCGATAGCTAAGATGTGAAATCCACCTAGGTGTCCAACACAGATGACTGGATAAAGGAAATGTGGTATATAGACACAATGGAATACTATTCAGCTGTAAAAAAGAATGGAATCCTGTCATTTGTATCATCATGGATGGAACTGAAAGACATTGTTAAGTGAAATAAACCAGGTACAGAAAGTTAAACACTACATGTTCTCACTCAT